CCGCCGCCGCCGCATCTCGGCGCGGGATAAGGAGCGTAAAATTTTCCGCAAATATTTTCTTCACGGCGACAACGCCGGCGACGGCGGTATCCCAGCTGCGTGCCGCCGTCGCGGCGGCTTTTGCTTTTATTAAACTCGCGAGCGGTATCGTCCGCTGAATAATACATCTCCCGCTCTCTCTCTCTCTCTCTCTCTCTCTCTCTCTCTCTCTCTCTCTCTCTCTCTCTCTCTCTCTCTCTCTCTCTCTCTCTCCCTCTCTCTCTCTCCCTCTCTCTCTCTCTCTCTCTCTCTCTCGCTCTCGCCAAATTCGCCGGACACGCGCGCGCACTCGCGCGGCCTCCCGGCTGCGACACTTCCGTTGTTGTTAACATGCGATTAAGGCGCACGCGGAAACGCAAACTGCATTTGCAAGCCGATGGGTGATAATTGCGAAACTTCGCCCTTGGGAGAGCCCTTAGATCTCCCTCGGCCCGCTCGAGTCACAATATCAGGGATGGGCGAGAGATCAGAATCCTCCACGAGCACTTTATTTCCAAATCCGGCGGAGGCTCGAGCGAAAAGATGAGGGTGAGAGGCGAGGGGGGAAGGGAGGGACGGACAGGCGCGCGGCTGAGACGTTGATCGACGACGAGTTAATTAACGCGACCTAAAACAACTGCGTGTCGCGACGGGGCTGCTTCGTTTTTCAGCGGCGATGGATCCGGCCGCCGCCTCCCTCGTTCGACTTGACAATCAGTAAATAACTGTAGAATTAACGTGACGGAATCCTGAGGGGAGATACGTAGATTGAAAGAGTAGGCGCGCGCGCGCACACGCGCGGTAATTAATCTCACGGCAATTTATCGATTATCAGGGCGGGAGGAAAGCGCTCCGGCCGTTTTATCAATCATCCTGTGGATACATCTTATTGTTTCAACGTGTTTTGCTAGGATCTTCAGGGTGTGCTCTCTAGACTTCTGACATCATCAATCAGGAGTCGAGCGGCCAGCAGACGAGAGCTTTTTAAAGCCGACGAGCGCTCGCGGGAGCGGGGAGGAGAATGCGCGCGCGAGAAAGCTTTCTTAAAATCGTTATTGTTAATTTTATTTGCGCGACAGGGACCGCGCAAGTTTCTCTAATGGCTCGCGTAATTATTTCCTCGTGCGTCGGTTATTCCATTCTGTCGGCCCTTTGATCGGAGCCGCCCGGTGCAATTAGGACCTTTCACCGGCCCGCTCTCTTTGATATCCTTTTCTCTCGCCTTTAACTCGCCTTCAGAAATTGCTTTAACTCCGACGCCAACTTTTTTACATGTATCTGGGGAGGGGGAGGGGAGGTGAGTAGGAGAAAAAGCCTCTCGCTTCAACAATGGCCGGACGAAAAGAGGACTCGCGAGGACGGCGAAGTCCGCATTCGATTCTCCTCCGAGTCGCGATGTAATTAACATCTCCGCTCGATTCCCCGTTAAAATCGCGCGCTCGACAGTGCCAGGAGCTTTTCGAAAATTCTCTCTCTCTCTCCCTCCTTCCCTCCCCGCCCTCGTCTCTCTCTCTCTCTCTTTCTCTCGTCATAACGCGGCGTTGACAGAACGCCACTCCCAGACAGATTTGCTGGGACACTTGCAGTTATCACCGTCACGTGTTCATCAGCGATGATATTTGACAGCTTGAATATTATACCGGGTGACGCGCTCCAATCCAGATTTCCGTTCCATTTCTCCTTTTTGCGCCCCGATTAATTCGAGGTCGACCCGCGGCCCGCGTCGTGTCGGACGGGGAATTTTCGTGCCCGCGGAAGCGACGACGATCGACGTGCGCTCCGTCGTCGTCGTCTTCGTCGGTTTCGGCAACGAGTGTCGTGTCGCGACGAACGATCAGCCCGATATATTCGCCTGACACGTACACCGCGGACGTCCTCCCGGGGGCAATTACAGTGACTCGAGATGATCGGCTTTGTCCTCTTCGTATAGTGGGTGCTCAAATCGAATCACCACCTACCAACCCGCCCCCCCTCTCCTCCATCTCTGTCGGGCCGTTCCCGCGGAAAAAATCCCGTTCGACCCCGCGTTCGAAGCCGCGTATATTGATTTCCTGTCGGACGGATATAGTCGATCCATTGTGCCGCGATACTTGGCCGATGCTGCGCCGCGCCGTGCCGCTCGTTCCGACTACAACGTACAATGGAATAATTTTATACCGCCCGGTGTAGGAGATTAATACGAGCTCTTGTCGTGTCTGATCGTATCCCCTTCCCCGTGCGCGGGAGAAAGAGAAAGAGAGAGCGAGAGAGGAGAAAGAACGCGTGCCGCCGATACAGATTAAGGGTTAACATCCGAGTGAACGCCTGAGAACACAGAGTAAGTTTGGGAATTTTTTGTGGCTAAATAATAACATAGATGGAAAATTGGTTTGAAGGCCTCTAACGTGCGTACCTTAAACTACACGAAACAATTTTTTATTATTTTGCCTCAAGATGGCGGCGCTGAAGCTCTCCAAGTAAAAGCACGTTTTTCGAATTGGCTTGCAGCAGAACTTTTAACAAATTTCATCCGATCCACTCGAAATTTTTACAGTAGCTGCTAAACCAAATTCTCTAGAGAAGTGCACATGATTTTTACGATCGGTCTGAAACTTTTGTTATAAATATTTTTTCACTGAATTTCTTGGATAAAAAACTGAAATTTTTTTCCTAATGTTCACCATTTCTACAAGAATCAATATTTGAACATATACGTGTGTACTTCTCTAGCAAATTTAGTGTAGATTAACAAAAATTTTGCCTTTTTTTCTCTGTTTGAAAGTGTACGGCATTTCTGCTGCAAGCCGCGGGGACTCATGGAGAAAAATGCGGATTTACTTGGAGAACTTCAGCGCCGCCATCTTGAGGCAAAATAATAACAAAAAATTGTTTTGTATAGTTTAAGATATGCACGTTAGAGAGGCCTTCAAACCAATTTTCCATCTATGTTATTATTTAACTACAAAAAATTCCCAAACTTACTCTATGTTCTCAGGCGTTCACTTAGATGTTACCCCTTAATACGGGCTTTTATCCGCGTGGCCGATCGTGTCTCGACTTCCTGCGTGTACATCGGTATACTTCGATAGCGCTTCGATCGATATCGCTCAATGCTGTTAGCCGAGTCGAAATTTCGGCTCCGTATTAACCCTGCAAATTCTGCGCAAACTTGAAGCCCCGCTCCGATGCAGAAGCGCGCGCAGGCGATATCGTGTGTTCTAACTTTGATGCCGCGCGAACGAAGTTGCTCGCTGCCGTTTGTTCCATCCAAGGCCGCTCGAAGAAGGGCCCGCCGAGGGCCTTGGAAATCGCCTCGGGCACTGTGCAGTGCGCATTTTTGGAAAGTCGATACTCGGGATTATTTCGCACGTGATTGTACATACATGGCTATTCCGGCGACATATATATGTACCTGGACCAAGCAAAAAGTTTCCTCTCTAAAACGTGAAGCCGGAAGTTGGCAGTTTGAGACAGAAAGAGAAGGTTGTTTTGCGTCTACTTCTTTCTCACTCTAGCTTACATCGACTGTCAAAAGTCGCCCCATATTTATACTGCAGTTATCAAATTAAGTATATACTTACAGACAAATATGTAAAAGAAAAATATAAAATATATGGAAGAAATATAAAAAATATGTAAAATAAATATAAAAATAGAGATAAAAGATTTTATTAACACGCTAACTTGCTGTATTATAATACATTCGCTCTGTGTTTCTATACCTCGCATTTGGTCCGATTTATGCTACGATTGCGACAAAATACCATATTGTTTTATCTTGTATTATTTCTTTTCTTTCACTCTTTACAGCAAAACTGTTAGGTTAAGTATGGCTCTTGCTGTCATATAAGCCAAAAGTGAGAAAGCAGTAGACGCAAATCAATGTTCTCTCTCAGTCAGAAACTGCCAACTTCCGGCTTCACTCGCTGCTACAGTAAAAATATACGAATGTTTGATCCATATGTCGTTGGGCTATTCACGAGTTTAGTCTCTATTCTCATTTTTTCACCCTTCGACGCGCTAATTTTATGTACAATTTCCTCAACTGCAAACGAAATACGCGCGTAACAACGTAAAGTATTAAATAATCAAGCAAAGATCGGCGAGAGCCGGGTGGAGACGAGAGACACCGTGCTTCCCTTTTTCCCCTTTTGCTTTTTCTTATGTTTTCACGTCGAAAGTTCCGACGGGATCTGGATATTCAAGAGGAGCGGGGAAGGGGAAGGAGCTGTAAGAGGAGAGACAACAGCTGTGTGAACATCGGTGGGGATTTAAACTCGGGATTTAAATTATAATAACAAAGATAAACGGAAGTGAATGAAAACGTCGGCGGATTATAGACGCCGCTTGGACATTCTCACAACCTGCTGGCCGAATATTACCAGAGACATGAAAGGAAAAATATCCGCGAGCCGGTAATTAGAAATTGTCTGTTATTAACGATTTTCGATTGCGAATACAATCGACCACACGTTTGTGTTATTCATGAATTATTTTTCGGCAGTTTAGGTCAAGTGGTTCTTCATGTATTCTTCATGTATAATATATATAAATACTGCAATAAACTCGACGAATAATGCACGACCGCGTGATGAGATTCTCGAAATTATGATTGTTTATCAAACGACGGCAATCCCGGTGTGAGCGCCGGCATTAAAATAAATTACAAATTTCGATTACCACGGGCGCCATTCTATCTTCGCAAAGGTCGTTTGCACGCCGAACATGCCGCGTTGACTATCGTGAATTGCGCGGAGTTCGACTGACGATTAAATCACTGAAGATAGATAAATATTATTCGACACATGTACAAATCTTTTCTTTACCTTGATTTATGCTCTCTATTTATAACTCTATTTATAACTCTATCTATAACTCTGATTTACGCACATCGGCGACGTGCAATCGTTTTTTCCAATCGCAATTGATTATACTTTTTACATAACTCAGCGGGACACGGTAAACGTCGATTACCGCTTAGCACCGCGTTAATCAGCGTGTCACTCGTAACGAATGATTCGCCGCAGCTGGCAATATCATCCTCGTCTATTATCCTCGTCCTTGATACTCCGCTCGATCTGGACTTCTGATCGTGCTCGGTCGTGGCATTGACATTGTAAACACGATCGAAGAAATACATCGGAAATTTCATAATATCGACGAGAGACCGCATTTATCTTCCACAAGTCGACGAGATATTTTAATTATTTTGTTTTTTGCACTCGGAGTTATGTATCTCGCGGGTTACTTACCAGCAGCTCGGCGGCACCTTCTTCGGAAAATGTGCAAATAGGAATCGCGTCGTATTAAATAGTGTAATTTTGCAAGCGAGTAATTTATTGTAATGATATTCGGTTTATGAATCTTGAGACATTGAGGAACATATTTATGACGAAAAAAATCAAAATTTCACATCTCATATTTTTCTAACGTGTGGTAACGTGTGAAACAGTCACCGATATGCGTTGCAGGTTCGCTTTGCCATTGTTCTGTAAATTAAATAAATGGGTCAGAAATGTCGAACTGTAAATTACGAAATTACAAAATGAAATTTATTAAAGAGAATATTACTTTTCCAATTTTACTTTCCTGATTTGGTAAGGCGATCTGCGCCGCTCTCGATTTATATGAATCTTTAGACATTGAGGAACATATTTATAACGAAAAAATCAAAATTTCATATCTCATATTTTTCTAACGTGTGGTAATGTGTGAAACAGTCACCGATATGCGTTGCAGGTTCGCTTTGCCATCGTTCTGTAAATTAAATAAATGGGTCAGAAATGTCGAACTATAAATTACGAAATTACAAAATGAAATTTATTAAAAAGAATATTACTTTTCCATTTTTACTTTCCTGATGACTTGGTAAGGCGATCTGCGCCGCTCGATACGCTTCAATACAATTTGCTTTCAGCTTTGAAAGTCTCTTTCTCTTAGGCTACGGTCTAAGGCTTGCTCGTTTACCTTCTCAAAGATAACACCACCATATCATGTGTTGTATCACCAAAAAAACATGTATTTTTGCAAAATTTGCGCTCGCATAAGTTTATCCTGTATAATCACTAATAAAATCTTCATGTCCCCTGAAAAGGGACATCCAAATGCAAAGGATTAATCGACGAGCGGGAATCCCGAAGTAACGCCTTTCGATACACGCGCTTCGCGTTGCGGCGCGGAGTCGCTTATCGACTCGAAATGCAACGATTCGCTCGCGAAGAAGCATGCGACGCACGATAGCGTGAAACCAAGATCTCGAATATTCCCGGGAGAGACGTTCTTGTTCCTTTTTCATTAAGACAAATATACAGGGTGATTCAAAACAACCTTCCATTATTAAAAGTATAAAATCCTGATAAAATTCTAAAACAACTTTTCCTCTTGCAAAATTTTGGCAAAAGCTTAGATTTTAAATTATTAACAAAAATAGTAGACCTATTGCGGGTCGGGTACGGGAGGTAGACAGGTGTGGCGCAACTCACCGTCAGACGTGGGCGCTAACGCGGAGTACCCGCAGCAATCAGCTGATCACACTACACATGTTATACACTAGCTACGTTCCAATATTCATTGCCAGCATAAAAATCTATATTTTGTACCTGTAACGTGGTGCGACGGATGTCTTGCTCGGTTGGGGTACAGCTCGGTGTATCTTCGAGCAGCAGCGGCGACCTGGCCGTGACAGGCTCCGAGTGTCAATAGCATGTCATAATATTCTTCGTTTGTGTATGCTGCCATATCGTCTTGATGTTAACGCTTCCAATAACCGCAGGATTATTGATTAACGCATCGATTGTTTCAACGCATACGATACGATCGTCGCGGGATGTCCATTGGTCCATCCCCCACCATGCACGACCGCCGCTTCGCATTGGTCGTGCAATGAATACGAGTGAATGAGTGAAAAAGAGACAGAAAGACTCGGAGAGACCGAGAACGTGCTTGCATGTGTGTGCGCGTACAATCCTGGCTGTTTTCCAAAATTTTTGCCAGTTATAACAATCACCTAACGTCACAGAAAATACAGATTTTTATGCTGACAATGAATATTGGAACGTAGCTAGTGTATAACATGTGTAGTGTGTGTGATCAGCTGATTGCTGCGGGTACTCCGCGTTAGCGCCCACGTCTGACGGTGAGTTGCGCCGCACCTGTCTACCTCCCGTACCCGACCCGCAATAGGTCTACTATTTTTGTTAATAATTTAAAATCTAAGCTTTTGCCAAAATTTTGCAAGAGGAAAAGTTGTTTTAGAATTTTATCAGGATTTTATACTTTTAATAATGGAAGGTTGTTTTGAATCACCATGTATGCCTCGACGGATCGCGTCGGGCGTTTCGGCATTTTTCCGCTCGCTCCGCCGCATTTCGATGGTCCTTTTTTTCCTTTTCGCGCGATGCATCGTCACGCCGAGTTTTTCCAGTCGCGCTTTTCACACCCCGTTATCGCGATGATGCTATCGAACGGCGAAAGATTCCGGAGTGCACGCGCGCGTCCACGCTTGGAATGCACGGGCGAATGTCAGATAGGGTAATTAATGCGCCGGCATGCATACGCGAGTGCACGCGGGGAATTCGTGTTCCGAAGTATCCCGGAGATACCTTTTCCACGAAAGATAGATTGATATATGGGATGTTTCTCGAATGAGAAAGAGAGAGAGAGAGAGAGAGAGAGAGAGAGAGGATGAGAAGGGGAGAAAGATAAACGGAGACTCGCGGAAAATTCCGCTCGAATTAAATTAACACTCGTGCGAGCGCAAGTAGCAACAATAGAGGAGGACCGACGAAAGGAATTAAGCAGATTAAGCTAACGGGATTACGCGGCGTAAGTGTTGCCTTGAACAACGCATCGGAAAAAAACAAGGGAGGGAGAGGAGCGAGAACAATCGCGGGGAATCGCGACGCCATCGCGTTAATTTGAGCGTAAGAAGACGTGCGTAATCGCGCGTGCTATCGGAGCGGCGGCCGCGAAATTTCGCGTGGTTTCAGCGCTGCGGCCAGCACCGCCCCCGGCTGATACACGGGGAGGGGGGGGAACGGATGGAGCCGGCGAAAGGGGGTTATAAATCATGTGCATCTCGGTCGACGAGCGCGCGCGAAATCGCGAGGCGCGAAACACGATCGAGGTATCGATACGGCTATCTCGGCTCTCGCCTCCCCCCCCATCCCCTTTCGTTCCTCCCCGTCCTCCCGTCGTTTGATCGACCGAGGCAACCCTGCGAAATATCCAGAGCGTCGGGGGGAGGGTTGGCCGGGTGGTTGATGGGATTCGTCGGGCCGGCGCGGCTGCGGCGACGATGGGGGATGTTGCAATCCTTTTGATCCTCTTTCTGTTGCAGTTGTGTGCGGCGTCGGCGTGGATGTGGCGTACCATCGACACGTCATGGGGCTTTACGTTACGTGAGGATAATTCAACATGCGTATACCGTAATTCAATTCACGCATTATCAGCCTCCGATCGCGATCGCGCCGCAAACGCGCGCGCGGAGAAACGGAGGAAACGACGAGATTCGAGCCAGCGGCGGCGAGGCGTCGCTCCGCCAGACGAGATTGAAGCTACCCCTTCGCACCCGCCGCCCTCGCCGCCGATGCAACGAACTTTAATCCATTTTAAAGGCCGTGATTATTCGACGAGGCCTCTCGATCAGGGGATCAGGGGGCCGGTCTTCTTTCTTTCTTTCTTTCCTTCCTTTCTTTCCCGGAAGACTCGGCTCGGCGTCGGAGAGCGATTTTCTCTTCGATTCTAGCGTGCATATTTTGCTTCTTATTTCTCTCTATCTCTTTATTTCCGTTTTATTTTTACCTTTACTCCATTTTGTTCTTTTATTTCTATTCCATTTTCTATTTACTTTCCTCACGCCAATTTGATCGAAGGCACGGAGAACCGAGCGGTGAAAATATGAAAAGCGAATTTTCGCTTCGATCGAGGTGATTCGATTCGGACGAAGGAGAACGTTGACCGAGCCGAAACGTGATTTCGGCGGGATTTCTCGTCGGTTCCTCCTGACTCGCTGATTTCTTGCGCGTGCGATCGCACCCTCGTCCACCCGCTCATGACGGATCTGCCTGTCGCGAAGAGTGCGCTCCATGAGCGCCTCCACGTTTTGTCGCGTCAAGAAACTGGCAGAAAGGTTGCGACGCCTTTCCTCACCCGCATCCAATTGTCCCTCATCAACTCTCAGAAGATGAGTCCTCCTACCGATCGTCCCGGATCGTTCACCCTAATCGGTAAAAATGTCGCGATCTTCGTGCTCGCGCCGAGTGTTTCTTCAGAAAGCTTCAGAGACCGAATCGATCGCCGGGACTTACGATTTTAGACACGCAACATTTAAATCGTAGAACGGCGGAGAACGGCGAGTTCAGAACGTGACTCCGCCTGTGATTTTTCGCCTCCGTCTTGGGAGCTTCGCTCACGCGGCTCTCATCCCCACGTGACACGCCGGGTACAAACAACGAGGCACTTACGCGTGTAAATTATTACATTAACGAAGAGCGGCTTCACGCGCGCCTGGCTTACGAGAGAATCATCGTGCGCGCCCGCCAGAGAGAGAGAGAGAGAGAGAGAGAGAGAGCCCCTAATTTATCCGGCGTCTCCATTAAATTCCACAGAGCTTTTACGGCTTCCGGGCATGTTCTCGCCGCGCGGTACATCTGCGAACATTCCCCAGGGCGGGATTTATTTTGTTAAGCTACATAATCGAACGTCGCCCCGACGAAGCGCCGTCGAAATTCTTTCGCGCGCGATCTTTCGTCCCCCTCGCTCTTTTCCCCTCTCTTGCCCCATCCTCCTGCCCTTTCCGGCTCCCCGCCCGCGCTCCGGCTCGCTTCGCGCGAGATCTAATTCGCTCGCGATTAGATTATCGACGAGCGCGGCGGACGGAAGCGCGACGACTGGAACGAGATTATCTCCGGGGCGGTATTTACTCGGCCACCGCGGGCGAGACCATGAAGAAGCTCCGATGGCTTTTGCCCTTAGCCGGGACGAACGCGCTGCAAAAAAGCCGCCGGATCGCCGCGTCATGGGGAGATCGCTGTCGAAAAAGCGAAACCCTCAAATCGCCTCCGTCGCATCGAGTCTGTAATTCACGGCGCACACACACGAACGAATGCGCGCGCGTCGAATTTCCGTTTTCAATTTATATTAACGGCAACGCGCCCGTCGGCTCGCAAATTAACATTAACGGCGGAATCGTGCCGCAAAATATCGCTTGGGGGAACAATAGCTCTTAATTAGATATTCTTCCCTTTTGTCGCGCATCCACCCGTCGCCCCGCGTTTTCCCGCTCGGCAACGGTGCATGCGGCACCGAAGCCGACGAAGAGGAGGGGGGGGGAGAGAGAAAGAGAGAGAGAGAGAGAGAGGAAAAGTAGCGAGCTCCGCGAAGAGAAATGCCTTCGACGTCATCCTCGCGCTCTCTCGCGCGAATTATTACTTACCCGGCGATATTGCGTCGCGCGGTGCGGAAAATTCTGAGAGAAACGCTTCCCCTCCGCGTCGCGGCCGATTCTCGGGCATCTCCCGCGTGAAACGGGACGCTACCCATTTCTTCGGCTGCCATCATTCACCTGTAAGAAAAAGGGAGGTTGCTGCGCGCAGGTGCCCTTCGCCGGGAGGGCTCGCCGCCGCTTGACATCGCGGAAGTCCGAAGTGTCTGCGTGGGCGGTTCCTGGAGCCTAGCTTCCTCGGGAAACGCCTTCGATCACTTGACGAGGCCGCGGGGTTTCGCGTCACCGGCGATTTCTCCCGAGGAGCTGCCGCGCGACCCTCGTTGAGCCGCGCTTCTCGAATTTACAGGGCGGCGTCGGGTGTCATCTTCTTCCTCGAGGTCACCTGGGCCATCACGTTGTTCGTGCATCTGTGCGTCAGGTACGTCTGAGTCTAGGCAGAAACGTTTCGTCAGAGAGGCTTCACACGCTGCTTTGCTCCTTATTTTCTTCATTGACATCATCGACTGCATCACCACCCCCCCCCACAGCTCCCAGTCCGAGGCGAATGTCCCACTTAGCTCGCCGAGCAAGCTCATCGTGAAAGTAAATTAATACGTTAATAACACGCTTCGAGTACGCGAAGCGTAATTCTCGCTTATCGATTTATCCGGCAAGATGGACGCGGCAAGTTGTCGCAATTTGGGACGCTCGCCTGCTATTCCGCTCGATCTCCTGCTGGCTTTTTCTCTTCGTATCGAGCGTGATCAGCGGTGTGTCGTGTCGGTGCGACGCGCACGTGTCGCCGTTACTTTGCGAGCAAATTGCTGGCCAAAACAACGTCGAGCACGATACGCTCGTTGTGCCAGTAAAGCCTCGGAAGGGCTTGGAAGAGCTCCGGGCAGCCGCGGGAAGCGAGAGAACCCACAGGATAACGCGGGAAAGAAGCGGCGGAGCCGGCCGGCAATTACCAAGCTGGGTCGGAAGTTCGTCCCAGTTTTCAGCTCGGCGTTTCCCGTCGGCGATGAGCGCTCGGAGGAAACGCGAAGCACCGCGGCAAAACTACGTAACGCTCCGCCGCGTAAAGGGCGAAGCGTAATCGGCCTTGCTAATGAGGGAGGATCTTGCCGCTCGCTCGAAATTAGTCTCTCCGGAATAAACGCGCTGACGGACGCGTCGATCGCCGATCAATCGCTCAACGGCCTGATTGATCGTCGAGCCACTCAGGATGCGCCGAAAGGATGCAGATTCCAAGCGCGATTGTATCTCTCGCCTCGCGCCAGCGACATTTTTAGATGCAATAATGAAAAAGAATTTATTCGTAAAATTGAATTAAAAGATCGGAGAGATTTCATTCGCGGTGAATAAATTTCAAGTCAGATCTTCTAATTCAATTTCCAACTGGAAATTGCGCTTAATGCATAGGTATTTTGGATCGAGAGGATTTAAAAAACTGATTTCATGTTGCGTCATTTGCATTTTGCATCGAAGTATTAATGAGGGGATTAATCTCGCACGCAAGTCAACGCGTTCGTCAGCGCGCTTACATCGAAAGCCGCTCACGCTGTATTTTTGACGACACTATATACTTGATACAGCGCATGTTTATTTCTGCGCTTATGCGTGAGGTAATTAGTTGGCATTAGAAATACTTATAGGAATATGTTTGTTTATAGAAATACGTCTATAAGTATTCCTGTGCGCGAGTGCCAACATTCACGGTTATCAGCCGATCAAAATCGACAGAGAGCACCCAACGAAAAGTAATTTCAGAACAAGCGGAATCATCTAAATTTCAGAGGATTTTATTATTATATATGGCCTCAAGAGGATTCCTCTAAGATTAAGAGGAAAATATTATAAACACATTATCCTGAAAGTTAGAGGAATTATATGTTGTATGTATAATGCAAATCTCATTGATTTTAATATAAATTTCCTCTTATGTACAGATTATTTGATCCTTTTTTAAGAGGATTATTATTTATTCTTACTATAGTTTATTCTTACTGGTTATATTAGTTAATTTGAAAACATTATTATAATGTATAGCGAAAAGTAATATATATATATATATATATATGTTATCTTTTTTTATTCATGTCTGGAGATAGAACATGACTGAACAAAAGAAGCTGACATTCAAATCAACACATTCCTCTTCATATAAGAGGAAAATTAATTGACACAAGGGGAAATCCTCTTGAAATAAGAGGAAAATAATAATATCTAATAAATTTTAGACGAATGGTTCACTTTAATCGCTTTATCGAAAGAGGAATCCTCTTTCTGTAAAAGGCTTCGCTTAGAATATGAGATTATGGGAAAAAAAGATCACTTTATAAATAGAATACTTTTTTCTGGGTAAGTCGGCGAAACTCCGTGGATCGTCAATATGTAGAAATATCGCGTTTAAACGTGCTCCTTTACGTGCCGAAGCGCGGTAGGGGGAGGGACATTCCGTCGAGTCGCTGGCGCGCGCAATCAGCATTTAATCGCCCGTTACGACTGCATCAATTTCTACTTAACTCTCCTCCGCCTCCACCTCAACGAGGCGGAGGCGCAGACAGCGAAACGATTTTCCCGCCGTTATGCAACTTTCCACCGCCATTGGTCTGTATGAGATTAATAAATTCAATTCCCCGAACGCACACGCCGCGCGAGTCTCTCGCCGATAGCGCCCTTTCGCATTTTCTGCATCTCCGCTAACGCGGTATCGCGCGCATTCCCTCCCCCTTCCCGCTTTCCCCGCGATCGCGTTGGTGCAACGCAATTCGGCAGAAACCGGCCGGTGATCGCATTGACGAGGAAATTGCCGGGAAGAGCGCGCGACCCCGAAATTATCGGCGAAGTTTCCGCGCCGCGCCGGAGCGCACCGCTGATTTACGAAATTAGTCGTGGCGTCGACGACTAAACTCGGCCTTAATCGATTCTCCCGACGGATTAGCGTTGCCGCTGGCCGCCGAGGACGAAGCAGACTGGGATAAAACACGCGCGAACTTCTGTCGCCCCGTGGAACTTTCGGCGCGCGCGCACGCGCGCGACGACGACGACGACGATGATGAGAACGCGACGTGTACATCCTTCGCCCTCGTCCCCCCCCCCCCGCCAAGCCCTGGCTCGCGATCATCTCGCGTTTGGGTCCCATGAGTGGTGATCGATCGCTCGGACGCGCACTTTTAATGGCACCGTCGGGGACGTAACTTCCGCGCACGGGAAACGACCCCGTCAATTCCGGATGGATCGTGCTAAGTTGCTCGATAAAACCGATCTCCGCGGAAACTTCTTCCCACTTCTTCCGCCGGCTGCTGAATACGTCGAGAGGACACCGGCGACCCGTCTCCCCCGGCGGTCTTCCGCCGGTGATCGATATGGGACACTCGGGAAGGCGCGACGAGCATTTGATCGCCCGTGCGATATCGAACATCCGAACTTATCTTGAGATGAATTTCGCGGGAGGCCTCCCCCTCCCCCCTCCGAATATTAACTAACGAATATGGTTATCGACGAGCTAACGAACGGATTGAATTAACTAACGAATTAAAATAACGAAGACGGGTGTTCCCGGGGAGAAACAAGAATGGATCGCTGAATTCGCGGATTAGCGGGAGGGGGAAGGAGGGGGCGGGGGGGGGGAGTCGCGCAACTGATTTCCCGTTGTCTGGAAAATTGCCGGGGACTCGGCTAATCCGCACAGAGAGATTTATGCGGGAGATATGTATATCTCTGTTCTGCGGTAATCGTTCTCGGCTATTTCGAGCAAATTCTGACACGGTCTAATGTTATCGATATAATCATCAGCTCTTTGCTGTTATCAGACATAACAGAAATAACAGAGATAATTTTCTGTTTGCCTTGCGGGGTCTTCGTCTGCTCTCTGTGCCGCGCGAATTGAGATATTTTTCTTTTCTTTGGGCTGCAGAATATAATATGCGTAAGATATACATATTGTATTATTACATCTATAATTGATGTAGTAATACGATGTGTATGTTACGTGCATATATTATGTATTTTGATAATAATAATAATGTTCCACCACCACCATCATCATCATCATCATTATTATTATTATTATTATTATTATTATTATTATTATAATAATATACTTATAGTAATACATTGCTTATCATGTCGCACATACATGTTACGTCATAATATATAATAATAATTTATAATCGAGACGCTTCAACCTCGAACTCGGGCTCCCGCATATGCGATTGCGGTTTATCTAGCTTTATCTAGCGCCAGTGTGTTTCTCGAGTCCAACTTCCCAGTCGCGACTTCGCGCGAGGACATGTCCACATGTGTATGAACCATAGAAAAAAAGAAACGTCTGGCGCGCTTCGTGTTTTCAGGAACGAGGATTCCCTCTGCTCGCATTGTTGGCTGGGCGTGTTAGCGACGACGCGGGGTTGGCGGCGGGCGTTGTTCTACTTGCCGTTGTCCTGCATCCTGGCGTGGCGACCCAACCGACTCTGGCTGTCCTACGTCGCTGGTAAAGACGTAAACCCCTCTTGTGAATTGCACGCGCGTGTACCTGTCCCGCTCGCATTTCTCTACGTCTTTACTCGAGACATATCCGGTATATCGGTATGTATTCCGCAGCCGGCCTGTTGGCGGTGCTGTCCTTATTGCATATTGCATCGAGCGCGCTGGGACGGCGAGGTCCTTGCCAGTCGGGCGGCGGGACCGATTCGGTCGGCGAGAGCCTCTTGAACTCCAGACAGGACAATTACGATCGCTTTGAGGAGGTTCTGGTGAGTATTTCCGTAATTCACCGTATTGGCAGCGAATCCTTCTCCTTTGTCCCTTCCCCATCTCCTCTCACGCCTCTTCCCAGCCGACGCGGTCGAGGATCCTTTTAATGCGCTTATCTTTCGAGCGACAGCGGAAAAGCAGCAGTTTTCGTGGTTTGCGCAATTCCTCAGCTGTATCGATCCTTTTTAAATAGCTCGACCCTAGTTGCGGTAAAAAGAGAGTGAGACATCCCGTCTGAGTAATTTAACAATCAACATTTTACGCAACACTATTGCGTAATGAATTACAGTGCGCTATTTGTGTGATTAGTCCTTTTGTCCTTGACTTCCTCGTGGTTTCCCCGCGGTAGATATTTATTATTCATTTCTTTTTACCATTTTTTGCCGATATCCTTTGGCCCGAGTAATTCTGTCGACTGTTATATGCTTTCGCGAGGTGACGGAGGTTCTCGATGACGGCGTATCAGCACCAGGACGTTGTCCCGGGGACAGCGACGGCGAGATATGACACGAGCGACGGCCCTCTTGGGCCAGCGAATCTGACGAGGACAGCGAGCCGGAACAAAGGACCTGTCAGATCGCCACGCTGTCTTAGTCATCGGCGACGAGCCGGAGGAATCCCCCTCTTTCGATTCAATCTCGTCCTGCAAGGAGGGTGTCAATAGCGCGTCGATGATGATTCCGCTCGTGACGAGGATGAACGTGCGAAGTATACAAGGCCGGGTGGTGAGACGGTGCCTCTAGGAAGTGCGGGCGAGTTAAAGGAACGGGAATTCATCGTGCGAGGAATTCACGGGGCTAAAAGGACAAAGAGAAATGATAAGAGAAATGCGAAGAGACTACAAAGCGACGACGTATAACGATAAGACGATAATTAACGAGCGCGCGTGCGAAAGAGCGGATACACGCACGGATATTTTTCTTAGATAGACGTCTATCGATTGAACGGATAATTTTTTTATGTCATCAATATATTTCAGAACCATACACAGGTACAAATGTACAATAATACTTATGTAACTGCATGACGTACAAAAGAGCTGCAGAACATGGTTCTCGTATATTGTATATCCGTGTTAAAATTGTCAATAAAGATTTTCGAACGAGAAAGAGCAATCCTCATATCATGCATTCTTAATTTATATGGAAAAACAAGTTGACAGAGAGAGGACACAATAATCTTTCACACATTTTTAAAATTCAAATACCAAGTGTCTACTTTGAAGCACCAATTCTGTTAACATTAACGATAAATTTAAGTCGGCATTAATAATATCGACTGTTATTTTGTACAATGGTAAAAGTGCGATACTCTATTACATTACATCACGCACTACGGACAGATCTAAAGCTATTTCACGCAATAGAAAAATATAAAAATGACTCTAAATTAAAAAATTTGTCCTGGACTCTGCCTCTAATTCTCGGTTGAATTTATTTAGGTACAGCAGTAGCATCACAGTCCTTATCACAACTCTTGACAACTTCTATTAATTTATCCAGAAGCTCTATCAGCAGCGGATTCCCGCCCAATCTATTGATGTCTTTCCTCACTTCTGCATCCAACTCCTTGATTTTCTTCCTTGTATAATTGAAGGAACCAAAATTTTCCAGCAGGTCCACGAATCTGCGCTTAACCTCGATTTCTTCCGGCCGTTGCTTCAACAGATCTATGTTGCGTAAATTGTTAAGGAGGCAGCGTTGCTAAAAGACGTTGCTCTGGAAACTGCTGCATTTATATAAAACAAATATCTTACTAAATAAAACGATACGCTCGCCAAAACATATACATTACATCGAAGGATACTGAGTATTTGCATGTCTTCGGGATGGGATTGGACCGCGTGAACAATCGGGAAGCTGAATTTTCCTTCCGTCAAGTCTTCACAATAACCTTTCATATCACTGTACTATGATACAAATTGATTTCGTTACTTCAAGCTCGCACGGAGCACTTTAGACATTTCGCTTACCTGTTTGTCATACAAGTTGCAGTAATCGTCGCGTATTTGAAAGAGATATCCTAGCATGTCTGCCAAAGGCGCGACGTTTTCCTCGAATTTTGTGAACAACTGCATTAACCTTACTAGCAGCTTGAAAAGGCCGCCAGTTTCTGCAAGATTGAAGGATATTTAGCCCGCCTTTCGCGCGGGTGATTTTACATTAATTTTCATAAATAGCATTATTTACTTCTTACGACTGTAATTTTGTACTCAAGCTCAGTTGGGCAAATATGATTATCTCTCCAATAAATATCTGATCCCTGACCCCTGTGAAGTTCCAATAATTGTTCTGTAAATACTTTTACTGCCTAAAAGAGAAAATCCAATTGAGCTAATTTAAATTATCTAATTGCAGAACTGTGATAAAAAGTAGCTTAATTACTCACATCTGGATGTTGTAGAGCTAGAGTTCTTTCAAGAGCAATGATCATTCCATAATTTGCAGCATTTGTTGTGTGAGCAATTCCATAAACTGAATGAGCAACAGGAATGCCTCTTCTTAATACAGCATTATCTTCAATATCATCAAGTCTACAAAACAAAAATGATACATGGGTACACAAAAATAATTTTACAAAGAAATATGCAAGTTGAATTTTAAAATTATAACATTGTTACAAATAATATGCATGACATTTAAAACATAGGAACTTGAAGCCTATGCTAATTTATGCTAATAGTTTCATAAGTTATTAATTATATACAGAAATAAAAAGTACAGAAATTATTAATTATATATACAAACAAAAAATTATTAATTGTACAAATAAAAAATTACAAATTATAAACTTACATAATGCTTGAAGTATGTAGTATATTTACAATCTCAATAATATCTTCGAGCTTATCATTTGGTATTCTTAACCAATAATTAACAGCTTTGGCCAAAGTTGTTCTGTATGCTTTTCCAGGGGTTCTTAGCATATAGGACATTGGTTCTAATAGTTTCTGTAAAAAAGAAGTCACACAATAAAGTCCTATCATTTTAAATAATAGATAGGATATATTATATATATATATGTAGCTGCACAGAATGATATAAATTATATTTCAATCAAATTATATATCAAAGCTGTATTTTCTTTTTGTAATCTTTTAAGTAAATGCACTATGAATACAATATGAGCCGACTCAACAATACATATTTTCTGTCATCTTGTAACATTGATATTGTTTCAATATATCATGTAAGATAAAAACTTCAGGACATGCATATTTAATTCAGAATATTTTTAAATATGAATTGATTTCTAAATATGAAATGTTCCACATGAGATATACGGATATATTCTATGTTAAAAATTTAATTCAATACTCCTAACAGATATCAAAATAATAATATTACAAGTTAGGTATGTCAATAGTCTTGACATTTCCATAAGTATATGAGGAAAATACTGAGGAAAAATGTAAGCAATTTACGTCTCATCTATGAATATTTGATTTGCTTATTGCTTACATTATTCTATAATCTTTGCGCTTACATTAATCCTTTGATTTTCTGTTTATTTTTAAAGAATTTCCCAACTAGGACAATAAGTTAGAGTGAAACATATTTCTTTTACTTCAACTTGATCCGCTAGTGTGCGCTATTTGTTCTTTGAAAATAATGAGGCGTATTGATAATTTTATTAATAACTTTTATTATTAATGATAACAATTGATAACATACCCTGTCTTCCTCCATATCGCCACTATGCGAATAAAGAAATATTGTGTTGTTTGTGCCGGTTTGGTCATTGGACATTTTAATCGACTTCCCGCAATACAGCAGACGATGATAACACAAATCGAATGTTAAATCGACAAAAATATCTTGACTACTCGGGAACGCGACAGTGGTCGTGAAGAGAAACTTCTGACAGTTGAAAATCGAAGAGCAAAAGGCAAACGTGAAGTACTTCGATGCCAAGACACGAGTGTGCTCCGAGTACACTCCCTCCCTCAATATATATCTGCAGAAGACTTTTAAAGTCTAATCCCCAACCTGACCTATTGCTACGTAAACCATAGAGAATAAAGATAGATAGAATTACTACGTCTCTTCTGGACATCGATTCTTATCATACCAAATATTGAGTGATGTATTTTTACATCATAAAATTTTTGTAACGTTTTTCAGATACAATGACCGCTAAGGTTACATTGTTGGGTTTAAAAGCTAAACTTTAATGTTCACCGTATTTGGAAAAACGTAACTGTAAAATCTCTATTGATTATTCTCTAGACGATAGCAAGGTCCGTAAGTAGAGACACAACGAAGCAACGTCCTTTCACGGCCGCCATTTTGGGGCTAGAGAATCTGTGTTGGTGCATGTGATACTATGGCTGCGTTCCGATATTCACTGCCAGTACTGAAAATATATAGTTTATGTCACATATACTATAGATTTTCAGGGCTGGCAGTGAATATTGGAACGCAGCCATAGGCACCCTATGTACGTGTAGTATTATGTTTTAGTTGGTAAGTGGTTAATCAGTTGAGCTCATATATGTAATACTACTATATTGCTATCGAGACGAAGAGGAGTGAAGCCAACATCACGGTGCAGCATATATCATCTTCTCGCTTCATCTTTCAAATGCGTACTTCGGCGCAAATACGCATGCGCGTGTTTTATGGAGTCGCATAACCTCATCAGATATACAAGTTGTTACGTTTCTAAAAGTGAAAAGAAGAGGAAAAATGCGCTCATGCTATTTATGTGGGAGAAAAGCTTCACGGGAAGAAAATATTTCTTTACATAAGTAATTATATTGACAAATAATGAGTTAAAATATATATGACTTACAATAATTAATAACAAATTATATAAATTATATTTTTCAGATTTCCTAATAAACAAGACATACGTAAAAAATGAAAGGAAGCATGCCATTTACATGACACAGATGATGTATCCCATTTGTACATTTGCTCAACTCATTTCAGATTGCCGCAAAATGTAATTAGACAGAAAAAATGGAGACTACCTCTTGAAGGTATACCCAATGCAGGTATTACTAGTAAATGTTGCAGCTATTGCAAAAAGAACTATACAATATCATTCAATAAGTAAAATATTTATATCAGCAGGAGAAAATATATCTAAGGAACCTGCGATATTTCAAACAGAAATAGATTCAAAGGTATATACAAAAATAATGGATGCTGCAACGACGGATGCCACAATAGATTCAGCAACAATGAGTGCTACGACAGATGTTGCAACAACATATTCTACAACAATAAATTCTGCATCGAGTGCTGCAACAATGGATCCCGCAGTAATAGATTCAGGTATATGTAAAATGCAATCAATACTGGAAGCTTCTACTTCTTATTTATGTAAGTTAAATATGAAATATATATACAGAAATAATATAAAATACTTATACATATTACAATAAGAAATAATTTATATATATATATATATATAAATGCCACTTTTGTTATAATAAATACTATCTATTTTTAGATTCTGAAAAAAGTACTGTCACTCTTCCAAAGAAACGCTTATTCGCAGAGCCTCGATATATCTCGAAAATTACTGTTACTGATGTAAATACAGAAGAAAGAGCTAAAAAGGTTATCACGTTTATAAAACAGGAATATGAAAAGAAATGTAAAGAAATGAAGTCTTTACAACAAAAAAATAGAAGATTGAAAAAGCAAATTGTTTCATTGCAAGAATTAGTAGCACACTTAAAAGAATCGAAATTACTCTCTGCAGATGCTGCAGACAATTTCATGGTATGTTCATAAATAGTAATATTGCTCGTAGTGCGTCATACACAGTTGTATATACACAAATTATGGAATATTATATAATATATTGCGACATTTTTCATACAGTAATGAAGATAGATATATATTATGTATAATAACTTTATTTAAAAGGAAATATTTATATTTTATGTTTCATTTAGAATATGTTACCAGAGAATGTGAAAGCGATAATGTCGCGAAAGTTGAAAACATACGGTAGTTACTCTCCTGAAATTCGTAGTTTTGCACTAACACTTCACTTCTATTCTCCTAAAGCATATACATATGTAAGAAAAATATGGAACAATTTACTACCAGGTTCTTCCACATTGCGAAATTGGTATCGTGTAATCGATGGATCTCCAGGTTTTACAAAAGAAGCATTAGATGCCATTTTAAAGCGTAGTAATAAACCTCTTATTATTAACCTAGTTATAAATGAAATGGCACTAAGGGAACAAATTATTTTTGATAAGAAACGATTTTATGGCGGTATCGATTTTGGCACTTTGGAAAATGAAGATTACGATAATGACTCTATTCCTACAGCAAAAAATGCTTTAGTATTTATGGCAGTATCGTTAAATGATAATTGGAAAGTCCCAATAGGATATTTTTTAATTAGAACATTAAATGGCACAGAACGGTCGAATCTCTTAATACATGCATTTCAGCAATTACATCAAATAAACTATACAATTTTTTCCATTACTTTTGATGGTGCTCCAAGTAATATTAGTATGTGCACTGCTCTGGGTGCAAATTTTACATATGAAAATAGTTTTAAGCCATATTTTATAAATCCAGTTACATCGGAGAAATGTTATGTGTTCTTTGATTTTTGTCATATGATAAAATTAGTAAGAAATACTTTGGGTGACAAAAAAATTTTACAAACATCTAGTGGTGACATAATTGAATGGAGTCATATAGTAAACCTGCATGAATTACAACAAGAAGAAGGTTTAAACATTAATAAACTCACGAATAAACATATTAATTTTCAAAATAATAGAATGAATGTAAAATTGGCAAGCTAAACATTAAGTGCAAGCGTATACAATGCACTAATGTTCTTATCAATGTCAGATTCCACACATCGATTTGTTAATTGCAAAGCAACTGCTGAATTTTGTTTGAATTTTAACAACATGGGTGATATGTTGAATTGTAAAAATAAATTTTCACGTCAGGAATTTAATACAGCATTAACTTCTGAAAATTATGTACAACTACAAGCACATGCTAAAAATTTTGAAGCATATATTAATACATTACAGGATGAAAAGGGCACTCCTATTTTAAAAACTAATAGGAAAACTGGTTTTCTTGGATTAATTATATGTTTAACAAATATGTTTCCTCTATTTGATTGTTTAAAATCTTTGGGGATGACATATTTATTAACATGTAAACTGTCTCAAGACTTTCTTGAAACATTTTTTAGTGCAATACGAAGTCGCGGAGGATTCAATAATAATCCACATGTTTTGCAATTCAAAAGCTTATAAACGCCTATTAATCAGACATGAATTAAAAGAGTTTGATAATGGTAATTGTCTGTCTGATAGCTTAGACATTCTTCATGTAACGTCGAATCTAAAACAATTCAAATATCCAATAGCAGATGAAGAAACATATTATTTTGATAACCAATTACTTTTGATCACGATTACATTAAAACATGTTGGGAGCTCACACCATATGTAGATAACATTGTCCAAAATATAGCAGGATATATTTCTAATAAACTATATAACACTATACATTGTGATATTTGTAAAAATCAATTATTAGGTAATACATTGCCTTTGTTATCACAGCTCAAAAATAGAGGACCATATTTAAAACCATCAGATGATGTATGTAGGATTTGTAAAATAGCAGAATCAACTATCCGACAATATACAAATAAATTGCAAACAAAGATGATACAACAATTATTAATGAACACTATATACCGTAAATTATCATTTTCATTTTCCAATGATACCATGCAAAACCATATATTATCTCAGGATATATTAGATAATCATAAAACGCAATTATGTAAGCGTATAATATCATTATATATAAACATAAGACTGTTCCATGAAGCCAAAACCATGTCTTCTAATACTCATTATATTAGCCAAAAATATACAAAACTTATATTATTTCACAATCAATAGCATCTCCTATGTATATAAAATGTTGCATTTTGATATTAAACAAAACTATTCGTAAAAATACTATTGTGTTTTTATTTCTATGTGTTCATACATATTATTAACAAATAAATACATTTGATGTGTAATCATATAATAAACAATCAATGCTGCAATATTAGATAGTAGAATTGTTGTATTTGCATTTTTTCAATATTAGTGTTTGCATACATATTTTTTCTATTCTATTTGTTTTTATGAATATTTAATTAACATATATTTGTACCAATAGTTGTAAAAGTAGCTCTACTCTACTAATTTGTAAATTTTTATTTAATATTTATTTTTAATACAGTCGCATGTTATACGATGAGAATATCTGAAAATAATATTATATAATTTCGGTTATTTTTATACCCACACTGATTTTATACACACTGCATTAGAAATTGTAATAACCATCGACACATATTTCGAATCCCACTTTCAGTTTTTTTAAGTTATTTTCTTATTTCATTTAATATTACTTCAATTTTCATCTTATTCTTACATATTTTTATTTTAACCTCTACTACGTATATTAACGCATGCGCATAACGTTCAAAGTACATGATCGCCTATATCTATCGTATCGTTTGTCTCACTTTCTTGACATCACTACCGCTTATGGGAGAGATGCGTAAATAGCAATATAGTAGTATTACATATATGGTTGAGCTACGGCCGTCGCCATTTTCGAGCCAAATATATGAAGTGGATGAAAGGACCTGATTCTCCATCTCTCTATTTATGGACCTTGGACGATAGCTTCATGTTCGATATTACTAGAATTGAAACTCGAATCGCTATTATCAGCAGAGAGAAGAAGAAGAGGTGTCATGGGCCGCTTTTAGCCGAGCCCAGTATAAGGCGCTCTCTGTACAACCGTGCACATCAACTACAATACCAATATCCACGACTCTTTCCTAATTTCCCCCACCACGCACGCACTCATAGCCGGCTCGGTCTATCCGTGTAGACCACGCGTCGAGCGACAGAGAGATATCATTCCCTCCTTCTCGCTCTCGTGTTCACTCAGCGACGCGAGCGAGGTTAAAGTCCAAAACATAATGCTAGGCGATAGCGATAGCGTTAGCCAATAACGATAGCGATAGCATATCAATAGAAATAGAAATTTCCGATAAGGAATGCATATGCCAATGCAGAATGGAACACGGAACAGGCAACAGCGACAAAATTTCCGACGAGTTGAAATTCTGTAACTATTGTCTTGTAGCCTACCAATCATAGCGTTCAGATTTTTGCGAATTCGCTGACGACTTAAGAAGCTTGCTCAAAGCGAGTAAAAGCAGCATAAAATATTATTTGTAATAATTTCGGTGCGCCGAGTAGACAAAACTTTTCAGTATTGTCATAGAGAGGAAAGGAGAGAGAGACAGTCGCGCCCGCGATTCAGATTATGGGTAAGAAAGAATTAGGCTCGCTCGCTGAGCGAGAACGAGAGCGACAAGGAGGGAATGATATTCTCTCTCTCTCTCTCGCTCGCTCGGCGCGTCGACAATTGCCGATCGCGTGGCTCACGCGGATTGACCGAGCTGGCTGTGTGCGTATATGCGGGGGGGGGAGGAGAATCCTCGTGCAAGCCCGTCACCAAATTCGCATCACTGATACCAATGATATCAAAACCGAACAAGCTGCGGACAAGCGTAACTTGTAAATACCGGAGATCAATTGTTTATCAGCTTATAGACAATTAATATGACGAGATACCCGCGGAGACCCGTGTACTTCTCTTTTGTCTTTGCGTACAATTGCGATCAATAAAAAATTTTCACGAATTGTTCGGTTTTGACGTCATTGGTATACGTGTGTACGTGTGTGTGTGTATGTGTACAATTGCGTACACGTACAATTGCGATATACACTTATCACGTTAGCATTGATCATTTTTATTCATGCTAAAAGAAATAAGTATGATTATGTAAAGAATTTGTCTGCGTATTATTATACATTCTACATAGCTCTCCCTGTGATAGTAAAAATAACACACTTGAACAACCTCTACGCTCATATCACAAAGCCTGATCCACTGCGCTACTGAAGCAAATTGGTAATTTTACTGCTATAACGACATTAACAGAAAAGATTAAACTTCAACCTACATTTCTCAAAAATGTTTGAGATTTGCACCGTTTTTGAATAGCATTTGTTACTATTACATCAATATTATACTTTTCTGAAAGCAAAATCGCACGGTGATTTCAAGGATGAAGACTCCTCTTGTGTAAGATATTAATTATTCATTCTTTATTAATGGGAAAAGATTTTCCTTTGGTTTAAATGTTCAAGAAAAGTTATTTGTCCTCTGAGAATCTTTCAATTTTTATGTTCGTGAAAAGTTTATAAAATTCGTAAAGAAAAAAAATTATTTTACTACCTACCTGTTCAAGAGTTGCGCATAAGAGATATTTCGACAAATCTGAATCTGAGTCAGTCAACAAATTAAATTTTTCATTCAAAGAAGCATATGTAGGGTAAGCATAAGTAAGATAAGTATAAATAATAAATTAAATATTATTCTCTGAATATAATAATAAATAAATGTTTTTTTCTTTAGCTGAATCATCGAAGTAAATATTCTGTTATAAATTGACTTTTCGGATTACAATATTAATTTGATTTTTCAGAGTACGCTTTAAAATTGACTCTTCGGAATACGCTATTAAATTGACTGATTTTTCGGAGTACACTTTTGAATTGACTCTTCTGACTACACATTTGTTAGTTGACTCTGTGGAGTACATATTTTTTAATTAACTCTTCGGAGAGAAGAGAAGAGAAACATTTTATATTTTATTTTAAAAATCTTAATTTTTGCAGAAAACTGATTGATGAAGAAAAAAATTAATTCACGATCTTAACGAAGATCTTAAAAAATTACTGCAAGAAATGAAGTTGTTGTTATTATATACCATATTGTTTTATACAATATTAAAACATACGCGCAATAATTATCTATAATTTGCATATATGGGCGTTTATGTAATTATAAGTCAATAATATAAAAGTCATGACAAATTAATGTGGCCGCGTGTTATCTCTGTCGCGTCATTGCTAGAAATCGTCCGAACTCTCGAAATTATTTTCTTCCCGAATTATGAATATAAAACAATGTGGAAAGGAAAATAAGGGGGTTAAAGGGGAGACGGCGACGTCCGCCTTACGATAATATCGCTGCTGGCTCGCTTCGTCGCGATTGTCTATTCGCTGGTGGTGAGACAAAGACCGATTCTTCGTTTTTATCTAACTAATCTAGCTCGCTCGTGAACATAGCACAGAACAGAACCAAATAATTATGGACATAGCATGGAATAGTACCAACAAATCGTGGACATTGGCTTAGTAGTTCATGTCCATGAAAAATGGACCCATTTGGCGCTGCGAATCAGCCAACTTTTCCATAACGCTGTAAATGCAGCCATGCCCGCTCTCAGGTTTCTCTCTGTGCAGACCCTTCAACTAATGAGAGTGGCGTTGGAGCGGTATACGCCCAGAGCCATCTATTGAATTAATTGAATTGGACCTTTAAACTAAAGTGCGATTGGGCTCAGTGCTATACGTGCACTTTTGCACCTAATGTCCACAAACCGCGCGTATGGAACTCAAGCGACATCCACATGCTCGTTTCGCTTCGACGACTTCGACTACTCTCTCCCTCTGTCGACGGGTCTTGGAACGCCGTTGATGTCCAATGGAGATAATCTGCGGTCTCTCTTCCCTGAGAAATGTTTCTTGGGGAATCCGTTGCGACAGCTGCGTAGCGATCCGCAGTTCATCTCTTCGTAGTTGCGATGTTTCATCACGACCTCGTAGGAATGCGCGTCTTTATATCGGGGAAGCGAAACGAACCGAAGGGCGCGAACTTTACCGAACATCGTCGAGCGTGGCCGAGCTCGTCGGCATCAGCAGCGCTCGGTGATTTTTCGAACAGTTTCGCAACGCGCCTTGTCGCACGGTAGTGATATGTCATTCCTCGACGTCGTTGTGTCGTAGTCGTCGGTTGACGTGTCATGCGCGTCGTCCGTCGGGAAATATGAACGTCGTCCAGTGGGACCACACCGTGTCCTACCATCGTCGTCGCTGCGTCAGTGCGGAGAACGTGGCGGTGTGAAGGAGAAGACGAAGACGACGACGAGCGAAGAAGGGACAAAGATCGCGGCACGGCGCGTCGCTGCGCGGTAAGGTCAGCTTCTATCGAGCGTGCTTGTGTCGACATCGCCCTCGAGCAGAAAAAGAGTGAGAGAGAGGGAGAGAGAGAGAGAGAGGGGGAGAGAGATAGAGATAGAAAAAGAAGGCATCCGAGAGCGGCCGGCCGATCTCGCATAGCCAAATAATCTTGGCGAGAATCTTGTCTTTTCGCGTACACACACACACACACATACAAACACACATAGAGCGAGCACAATGTTCTTAACGTGCATTTTAATGTCGCCCGTGAGAAACTTATTGTGTTCTCCAGAAGCACGTAACTTGTGCCAGGTCTATTGTACTGTGTTGTGTCGATTATGCACACGTACGCACACACGCACAGTCCTGGCACAACAAAGCTACACACGACTCAAAGCTCCCCGTAACAAACACACTGTATATACCCACACAAGTATATAACCTCGTGTGTTAAAGCTGCTAGTTACGTCAGTTAGGCGCAACGCGCATCTGCTACGTGCATCAAGTACGACGAAGCCAGGTAGCGCAGAAATCATCCCAGGGGATCCTCGGGACGTCGTCAGGTACATCCTGAATGATCTCGCGCCACCTGAGGTGGTCTCACCCACAAAGAGCGAAAGAGAGTCGCACCATTTTAGAGCGTCTACGAGAGACGCATTGTGAGCTCCAGAGGAGTTATACTCGCGTGTTCTCCGTGCGTGATGCCCTGAATCGCGTCTGATGTCCTTCGGCCGGCCCGACGAAGGAGCTGCTCCGCGTTCCCGGGACGCCTCCTTTTCGCGGACTCGATGCTACGACCGGGAACGCAGAACGTAAACATGCGTCTCTATTTCGGGACGACGCACCTGGTACGTGTCGCATGCGAGCTTCTCTGTTTTTCTTTTCGGAATCCTGTTTGCCCAGCCGAGGACGATCATCACGCTCGGGCGAGACGCGCTGAAGCGTCGCCGCTTCCCCGGCTACTTCGTCGGCAGACAATGCTGTTGGAGACGTCGCACGGTCTCTTCGTGGTCGACGCGAAAGCGAATTGTCATCGCATTCTCGACTCGTGCGTTGCGACATCGACCGTGACTGGCTCGACGTCGTCGAGGGAATTCCGTGTTTTCCGTTGATGATGTCGCTGAGAGAAACAACGCACTCGGCCGAGTCCGCAGGATCTGGCCGATCACGCTTAACGGGATGCGTGCTGAGCACTAAATTCCGGAACAGAGCCGGCCGGACTGACATGTGGCGTTTTCGCCTCGAGATCTCGTCCTGACTGGAAGTTAGCGTTTTAAGTAGCTCCGAAAGGTAACTCCGTTATGTCTTTGGTGTTTGCTTTGAGGTTTCTTTTTATCACACTTGAGGTTCTGTGTAGAGATATTTGCCTGTCGGCCTCTCGGCTGTCGACGACTCGGCTGGGCTGTGTAAATCTGCCCGCTTATCGACCATTGCTCGCGATCACATCTGTCGGAAGAATGTCCTTTTGCATTCGGGTGTATGATGTGCAGCTTTGTTTACACGCGGATTGATTCGCCGAATTCTGCAGGAATCTCAGATAAAGCTTCGCACACACTTATTAGCTGATTCTCCGTATTTCCTTGAGAAGATAGCTCGCTGATTGCGGGATTTCTCAAGTTTCAGATTAGCTAGCAAGATTTTCTTCAGGGAATGTTCTTGAAACGTTCTTAGAACGTAGGAATATTCTCAAAACGTTCTTTGGACGTTGTTAAAAGTTTTCTGCTCGGCGGGAATGGATCGAGGATCGTCCAATGCTGAGTGCTGGGGAGTTGACTACACGTTTTGATCGTTGATTTTCTTCTTGACAGCATTTTTGCTGCCTTGCACCCTGCGTGTTTTCGTAGTTTCGACCTATGAATGCCTACCGAAGGTTGGGCTACCTGTTTATTTTGACTGGCAGGTGAGCATGAAAACGAGAAACCCGAAACGATCGTCACGCTCGTGAGTCAAAAGCCTCGATAAAGCCTCTAATATTTGTCGGAAAAAAAGAACTCATTAATCGCTCGTGTCGTATCAGGATATATGCACATGTTATGACTATTGATTACTCGGCTGATCGATAATTTTTTTCCGATTGTCGTATCTTATCATATGATACCGTGTCGTATATCCCCATCCGGACACAAGCGATTAAAAAGCCCTGAAGGAAAATGACTTTCGGCCTGATAAACGTTGAGGCTTCGCTAAAGCTTACACTGAAGCTTTAAGCGTCGTCTACAATGGCAGTAAGCAGTAAGAAGTAAGCGTAAGCGGTAAGAAATAATAAACCAATCACAGGTCGGTTATGACAAAAATAATCAACTGTGGTTGGTCCATTTCTTACTATTCACGCTTACTTACTTCTTACTGCTTACTGCCACTGTAGACGACGCTTTAAGGTCATTCTACAATACGTGTCGTAAGTTGTGAGCCGTAAGAACTGACCAATTATAGCCGATTATTTTTGTAATAATCGACTGTGATTCGCCAATTCTCACGGCTTACAACTTACGACACGTATCATAGAATGACCTTTAAGGCCCATCTACAATGGCTGGAAGAATAAGGTTGAAAGCGTAAGCGGTAAGAAACGAACCAACCACAGTCGATTATTGTTATAATAATCGACGGTGGTTGATTCATTTCTTAGTGCTTACGCGTACAACTTTATTCTCGCAGCCATTGTAGATGAGCCTTTATACCGAATCAGAAAAATCAGCTGGAGGGTACCGAGTCCGGTAGACACGACCGCGCAAGTTGCGAGCAAATTGACCAGGAACCTACGTCGAATGAGACGGATCATTCGACGTAGGAATCTTGTGATCCTGCGGCGAAAGATTTGGTCAAGAAAAAATTAACCGAAACTAAAAAGAAATTCATCAACGAAACCGAGTACACAGTTCCGCGTGTGACTATCAGCAGCTTGGCTCAAGCGCCGCGACAATTCGGAACAATTCTCCCAATGAGATACTGAACGAACTGGACGACAATTACGACCGCCCCATTGAGCCAGATTCGCAGTCTGTTGTTAAACAAAGGAGGGTCTGAATGAACGGCGAAACAGTCGGAAACATCACAAGGCGATCGCTTCACACCCACACACATACATACACACACGAGCCTGAAATCGAGTTCATTTAACTCGACTCGAGTCGTTTCGCCGGACCTTTCCTCCAGTGTGCATGCATCACTCTTGATCACATCGGAATGTTTTTCCACGAACACATACACACACACACACACACATCCAACACGCCCGCTCTCGCAGGTCACCGACGTACGTTCCACTTTACGTTCTTTCTCTCGCTCGCTCTCTCTCTCTCTCTCTCTCTCTCTCTCTCTCTCTCTCTCTCTCTCTCTCTCTCTCTCTCTCTCTCTCTCTCGCTCTCCGTCTCCGCTTTTTCCTTCCTCCTCTTTCGACCCTTCAACTCCGCCCGTTAATTCATAATAGACCAGTGTACTCTCTTCGACATTGTCGACGACGGCGGCGGCGACGACGACGACGACGACGACGACGACAACTCACTCGCGCTCCTCCTCGCTAATAGAATCTCACGACGACGACGACGACGACGACGACGACGACGACGACGACGAGGAGGAGAGACACAAATTTCCGGTGCGATTGTGCCGGACCGTCACTCGGGAGGGACGGATCGATTACCATTGTGTAATACTAATTAACGACGGTAATTAACGCGGCTCGCGCCCGTGCGCGCGGAAACTCGATCGAGCGCGCGCGAGGGCCGACAGAATCGGATAGTGCCTCACGCGATAAGAGAGCACCGCCACGGACGCCTTTATGACTCTATTTTCCCGTGGAACCAACCGGCGTCTCTCGCATGGATTAACGAGCGCGCCGTTCTCAATCGAGACCCGCCAGAGACTTGTTTCATAGTCGATCGCTTTTACGGCTTGCGAGTCCGCCGTGTAGCGGAGAATCTCGGTCACGTCGGGCGTATTTTTGGCGCGATCCCGCCGGGGAGGGGCGGGGGTGGCCTGGAAGCTTGACGCATTAACTTTTGAATTACTCGTTATCTATTGTTGACGACGACGATGATGATGGCTTCATTGTATTATCTAATCTCAAGCTTTCGACAAATATTCAGCGGCACCAAGTTCCCCGCGAGTCGCCGATCCCGGGCGATCCCGGGCGATCCCTCGCGTCGTTATTCTTCGCCTATTCTTAGGATTCGGCGCGAATTTTCACCACGATTTGTGCGAGCCGACTGACCGGGTGATGTGTGAATCGACAGGTAACCGGGATCAAGCAGAGATGTCGAAGAAGACCAACTGCAAGATGTTGGTTCATCAACTGTCGGCCGTGTTGCCGGACGACAGGCCGATAACTGCCATTAGCGTCGTCGAGGACGTCGACAAGTGCCCGCCGAACTTCACAGTGGTATGAGCGGAGTTATGTTGATTAGCGCGATCTCGCCGGGGATGATGCCGAACGCAATTGCTCCGGTGGTAGAGACGATTCTAACGACCTGTCGTGTTCGGCTTAGGTGTCGAGGACGTACGACCAGGACACGGACGCGGATCTATGGAGAGAAAGCGGACTGTTCATCAAGAAGAAGGGCAGGTACATCTGCTTCTCCAAGACTGAGGGCCAGCCCGACTGCGTGGTCGAGGATATCGTGGTGATCAACGAGCGAGATACCCCGCCGGAGGGCTACTGCATGATCTCGTACACCGTGGATTCGAGTGAGTCTTCTGGGCGGTCGGGTCTTGCTATCTAGCATTGCAAACGTCGTGTAAAAAACCGCGTCGCGGCGGATTTCTTGCAGGGCAGAGGGCGTGGCGGAAGAAACAGGTGTGCTATAAACTTAGGAATAAGGACCTGTGCGAGAAAGCGGTCACCGATATCATAATATGCAGCAGGATAATCCACAAAGATTACAAGCTGGCCCCCATCGGGTTCTCCGCTGCTGGGTAGGTTATCTGATAACGATGTCGTCGATGTTCGTCCGACAAGCCTCGCGTCCGACGCTTTATACCCACGACTTTGTATCTCACCGATGTCTCTCGCTGCTTGCAGTATCATCAACGGCGTTCGCGTGTGCTACAAGACGGTGGATATCACAAATGCGAACTCGAACTCGCAGTCGTACGTTAATATAGAGTGAGTCATCTCCTTTGGCGTCAAACCAAGCCATATGCTAATTTTCTATTGAGCCGGCTACGCGTGTTATGACAGATGCAGGTCAACGTTGCTGAAGCGCATCGCTCATGAGTGTCGGAGGGACGTTGGGTTAGCGCAAAAATTCCTGCCTGAAGAGAAAGTGAAAAGAAACCAAGAAATTTGTACCAAAGGATCTATAAAAGAGATGAAGAGATTCATGTGAAAGAAAGAAAAGAAAAAAAAGTGAAAAAGTTACACAAAACAAATGTAAGAAATTCATACAAGAAGAAACGAGTAGAAACTGATAGAAGACGAAGCGAAGAAACTTAATACACGCGTGTGAATTTCACGTATCGGCGAACGTTGGCGAACATCTGTCACGTACATTTCTTGCACGGAGCCGGCTTCGCGCGCACGCGCGCGCGCACACACACACACACACACACACACACACACACACACACGCACGCATACTCCAACTCTAACTACAGATATTTCCACCATAGCTTACTACAAAGCGCTTCTCCGAATCCATCGAACGGGACCCCTCACAGAGCAGCTCCCGAGCGGCCTCCGAAACCAAAGTTCTCACCAAAACCGGCCAATGGAATCTACCCGCTGATCGGAGCGGCCAAGGACGGCGACGAGTCGGGCGATCGAGATTACGAGATCCTCACTCCCAGCGCAAGGATCAGGCCGACCAGGCCCGCGCCTCAACCGCCCACGTCATCGGCCATAGGGTCGACGCCCATCTACGGCACGCTTCCGGGATCGTCCGATCTCGACGGAGTCCCGTTCGTGCTTAACCCACGTCTCACCGCTCATTTGGATTCCGCGAGCGTGAGTATGCCGCGTTTGCTCTCGCAGAGAAACTCTCTCTCTCTCTCTCTCTCTCTCTCTCTCTCGCTCTCTCTCGCTCTCTCGCTCTCTCTCGCGTCAGTCCCTAATGACTATGTCCGACGTCGTTGCTATTACAACCTCTAATGATACTTTTTTTCTTCCTCTCGGCAGAACAAACTTCCCGTCATCAAGGTGTGGACGCAGAAGGATTTGGACAGGGAGGTAGGTTGTCTCTTCCATCGCGAACACGTTGCGTCTTCTTCGTCTTCGGTCTTGCCGGAAATAACCGACACTCTACCTTCTGTTGCAGTTCTTTTATGATTTCCGCGCGGAAAGGGAGACTTGAGAGACTCGAAGATGCGTGCCAAAACTGTCTCCTCGCGAGCAGCTGTGTGTCGAGAGCGATTCCTTCGCCGTTCGTTCGTTCGTTCGTTCGTTCGTATCGAGCGTAATATTAGCCAAGCATAATGGAGTGCCTGAACGAGTGATTTATACTAACCCTGCGAGAATGAAATGCCCACGACGCTTATAAGGAGAAATGAGGAGAGAAAAGTTTTACTATATCTGAGAGAAAGTGAACAAGATAGAAACTTACTCGATGTATAACGCGTTTCTTCCTCCTCTTCCACGCCCCGATTTAGATTTTGATACCAGCGACAGCGTTGTATTTTTATAGACTTGCGTTGTATTTTTTGATAGATAGTAGAAGATTATACTTGTATGTATAATATATGTACACACGTTTGTATCATACATTCGAGATTCTCTCTCTGTCGGGGATCCGTCGGCGACCCCTCCCGACATCACATATCTGCGCTTCTGCCGCGCGAACGAGCTCGTCGAACGAAATAACATCGCGTTCTCGCCCCTGCGAAAATTAATGTTCGTCCAAGCGGACGGCGAGAACGAAGCGTGCCGTATTTAAGAGTCACTTGGTTCATTTAGTTAACCTAAGTTCCTTTTTCTGTGTTCGCGTCTTTCTCAGTCGCACGCCATACTAATTCCTTCTCATACTTAAGACTTAATGCGCAAACGCTTGTGTAACTTGAAGTATTTTGCAATTGAGGTGTCGTTTTTCCCTTCATGCGTGATCAAGCGTAGTTCATCGTTCACAAAACTTTCGAACTCTGCGCTCACTCTCGCACGTGTATCGGGTAATTCTCCGAGATTATGTGTCACTTCGCGCGTTTCTTTTTCTTTCGGAGGATAAGAAGGGGGTGAGAAGAAGAGAGCACGATTGTTTCGGCGTCGGCGGAACGCGAGATTAGACTTATCTTCCTCCCGAGATCTTCCTTCATTTTATATATATATATATTATACCTTGCGTAAGTATCACATGGCGTAAGTTTTCTCGATTGATCGCACACAATTGTAATTTATCATAGAGACCTGTATGTAAAACAATAATTTAATAAAAGATCACGTGCGTGACAAGTCACTAATTATATCCCGTATTGTGTATTCATTCGACGAACAGTGCGCGCGACAGCGATATATACAGTGCTTCACAAATGAACAATCTGAGTGTCAAACTTTCAGACGAGAGTTATATTTTTAGTTGACAGACACCGTACGAGGGTCTATAAATAATTTCTCTCACAGCAAGAACAACCGAGTCAACGTTGCGCGTTGTGTACGAACGTCTTCTCGACGAGCGAAGTATGATATAAATGAAATAAATTAACCGATCGCCGGAACCGACGCGGCGATCGCCTTCTCTTTTCATCTAAAAGATTTAAGGACTCATGTATCTTTTTTTTTTTTTCTTAGACGTTATATATAGAATTCTCTCACCATGTTACGCGTTTTACATGGCGCAACTTGCTAAGGCACAGGACGCTCGTGAGGGAGCTTTCATGAGCGGATGTCGCGGACTCCCCTCGCTCGTGCTCTCATCGTGACGCGACGTCCTGTTCCTTCTCGCGCAATACTGTAAAATTCCATTTGCACTTTAAGGACGAGAGTGACTCGCGCGTATTACAATAAGTACACACACAAGGAGAAGATACTCGTTGAGTGATGCTCGAAGGGCGTTCAGGGCGAGGAGGGCCTTCTGAACGTCTTTATCGGCGAGTTGTCGGCCGAGACGGCGGGTCGGAAAATGTTGCCCGGCAGGACACTGGCCAGTCGTCAGACAAACGGTCCTGTCCAGTGCCTGACGTGCGTGGTGGTATTACCGGTCGTCGACTGAACCCCGTGCCTCTCCAGCACCGCCGTGGCCTTGATCCTGCTCTTATACTTCACGTCCTTCGGCTTCAGCATGCTCTTGTGGTTGCTCAGCAGCCTGGACGGCGTGAGGATCGACTTGTTGCTGAGGCCGGTCGCCTCCAGGAAGTGATCGTAACCGCTGCTTCCAGAGTCGCTGTTGCTGCTGCCGTTGTTGTTGCCGGCAGGCATATTGTTGTTGTCTTTGGCGATGTTGCTCTCGCTCTGCCCGGGGTTATTCAGAGAGGAGTGGCTCAGCCTCTCGGAGCCGTCACCTTCGGGCCGATCGGGGTCGTCCGACAGGTCGCACTCGTCCAGATTGAACTCCTCGAAGTTCTGCCGGATGTCGAAGTCCTGAAGAGAAGACGGACCAATGAAGATGTCGCGTTCTTGATAAGACAAGACATGCGTTTTGTTGATGCATTCATTGTGAAACAATAGAAAATTTTATCCCCAGAGGTGTCCCCATCAGGTATAACCTGGTCAATATTTTTCATTGAATTAAGGAAAATATTGCAATTATTTGCCCTAAAAATTTCAATACTTACATCAAGAACAGTCTCAAAGACAGGATATAATAAAATATATCAATAGACCATTGTATAAATTGGCTGTGAATAAGCTAATACAGTTGAAGTGACATGAAATGAACACAACAACAAAGGAACAAGGTTCCAACACTGAAATTCACTTCGCTAGCTTCCTCTATCTCGGTTTCCAGTAAACTCGCGAAGGAATCTCGCTGCCGTGAAGAAACTTACGTGCTCGAGTTCGGCGTGTCGTTCTCTCGCGCGAGTTCTGTCCCTCGTCGCTTGCTCCTCAGGGTCGCCGATCTTGAATTCCTCAAAGTGCCTGACGATACTCGTCACTCGCGCCGCGCCCTTCGTCGGCTCCGGCTCCTTTTGCCTGGCTTGGAAGGACGATCGCACGTGGTTGAACCTGCTTTTCCAGAATCCAGCCTCCTCGCGACCGCTCGCTTCTCTCGTAGAGCTCCTGGTTGAGCTCCTCGCCGAGCTCTTCGCCTCGTCCAGGTTCAGGCTCCTCGCAGCTTTGGACGTCGACGACGACAGCAGTTCCAGAATACCTCTTCTCGCAGAGTCCACGCTTCCGGGGTCTTGCTGAGACCTCTTCTCATCGATCAAGAACGACGGACTCGGGATCTTCTTCAGGGTCAACGTGTTGTTGCGGAACTGCGGTTTCGGCGGCAACGCCGGCGGCGTCCTCGGTGGCGTCGGCGAGGTCTGTGTCGTCGTTACCTCCGGCAGTGATTCGATGTCCTCGTAATCGAGATTCGTCGAACGTGGCCTGGCGATGGTCAAACCCCTGGTGGACATCTGCAGGCAGGCTTTCTCCTCAATCCTTTCCATCTTCAAGGGTGGATTGCTCGCTTGGGGCTTCGATAAGAACTGCCTCGCCTCTTCGACGTCGACTTTGGGTTCGATGATGACCAACGGGATCGCCTTGGAGTCTTTGGAGTCGTCGTCCGGTTCTTTCTGAACGATTCTCATGCCAAATTCGTCCTCGGACGCGCTGCCCTCGTTCTCTTGGACCTCGTCCTCCCGTGGCGGCTCCTTGTTGTCCATGGTAGACTCCTCGGAGTTTCTCCTCTCCATCTCGGAACCCACGGACTCGATGTCGGACAATCTAGCCGGCTGGAAACGCACAATCCTACCGCGGTGCTTGAACCTGCGTGGCGCCGACAGCATGTTCTCCTCCTCCTCCATGTCGCGCAGCAGGATTTGATTGACACACTCCAGGACGGAGTTGTGATTGCTGTTGGGCCTGTAGACGTTGTGCCGAAACATGTCATCGTTCAGTCTGTCTTCGTCAGGATCGCTGTACCAGTTGATGCTGGTGTCCTCCACGGTCACCTCAGGCGGCTCGATCTTCGTCTCGCTGCGAAAAGAAATCAGAATTAATCTTTCAGAAACAAAATAAATATATATCCGGTTACAAAGCAACTTTGTATACTTTCTCACTTGAAAGTGAATATATATATATATATATGTATAACTTTGGAGAATATAATTATTCCAACTTTCTAATATTATTTCTTTCGTAGGGAAAAATTAAAACTTATAAATAAAGATATTTTATTTTAATACATCTAAATTTATTATCTCGTAGCTCTGACAACCTTTTTTATAAAACTTTTTTCTGCCACGAACAATTTTTATAGAACATCTTTTTTTATATTATGCAAATATATCCGGATACACACGTAAAGGCACATTCAATGGAAATTTCAATCATCGATGGTAACTTACATGTTATTATTGTTGCTATAATCGTCCTCCGTCCTCGACAGCTCCGTCTTCTGCTGCAAGTGCCTCTCGTTCGTCTCGTTGCAGGCATTCACGTAGATCGGCTCGCTCTTCTCCTGCAGATTGGTGCTCGTGTCCTGCTCCTCGTCCTCCGAGACGAAGTTGCAGTCCATCCCGTCGTCCTTGCTTTCTGTCCTCGTGATGCCGACCACTTCGATTACTTCTGAGCCCTTTGGCACTTTTTGCCCCTTCACTCTGCGCAGGGACGATTTCCTCTTCGTGGTCGTCGTCGTCGTCGTCGTAATCGTGACGGTGCCTTCCTCCGCCTCCTCCTCCTCGTCCTCGTCCACGATCATCGTGGTCTCGTTCTCGCTGTCGGTCACCGTCATCGGCGTGCACCTGCTCGAGCATTTGTTCAACGTCGATCCCGGCGACACGTCCGTGCTCTCACCCTCGCAGAAACCCTCCGTGCTGAGCAACGACGGGCTGCCCTCGGTCGTCGTGGTGATGATCGACGCGTCGGTGTTCTCGCTGCTGGTCATACTGGTCTTGGAGATATCGCTGCCGGCGAAGCTGTGGGTCTTCCTCACGCCGCTGCGATCCAACTCCTCGAGGACGATGCCGGCCGCCGCTGGGTTCAGCCGCGTGATTATCTCGCACTTGAGACTCGCGATGTCCTTGCCGAGGCCGCTCTCCTGCAGCGTCTCCTTCTGGAAGTAGCATTTGGTCGAGAATTTATATACCGAATTTATATATTGAGAGAATCATAGATAAAAAGATGTTTTTATAGCGAGTAGACTACCGCGGTAAAAATTAAATATTAATATAAGTAAAATATAATTAAATATTAACGAGAATTATATACGTATGTCGTTACCGCTACTTTGTGTCGATAACAAAAAAATATGCCAGACGCAGAACACGAATGCAATTTTTAACAAGATAAATTATCCTTCCTCGATACGAACTTTACGAATCTACTCTCTAAATTTCTCGCGGTGAAATCAAAACGAATGAAAATCCGATACGGGGGAAAAGCGATAACGGAAATATTGCTATAATTTAAATATATACTCTTGAAATATTTTTCATTCTCTCTGTGAGGATTGTAGAGTTCTCTATATTATCGTTTCTGTGTTCCATTTTCGAGAAGCGGAAAATGTATAGCTGAAATATATAAGATTTTCTCAAGTTACCTGCAGACTGCCGAAGTTTTGCAGGTTCTTGTCGACGTTGGCGTTAACCTCGACGTCGACCAGCGTCGGATCGCGTTTACACTTGATGTAGTTCTTCGTGTAACGCCTCAGCATCGCGATCTCCAGCTGTTGGTTCCGAATGACGTTGTCCTTCTCGCAGAGCAGCTGTCTGATCGACTTCTGCTCCTGTTTGAGACGCGCCTCTAGGACCAACAGAGCCCGCAATATCCTCGAGAGTTGCTGGTCCCGCAGAGTTCTCTCGGACTCGTGACCGGCAGTACGATGGTCTAACTCCCTCACCAGGTCCCTGCATCTCTTCGTGGCGGCCTTCAGGGCTTCCTGAGTGCGCGCCAGTTCCTTCTTGAGCGTTCGGACTTCGGTTTCCATCTGGAAGGCACACATTTGCACGGAGAAATATCTTCCGAGCCGACAAAAAGCCGTTTTTCACGCGTACAAAATGATTGTCCTTTTGAATTTTTCTATTACGAAGGATTACGATGCATTGGGAGATGCAAAAGGAGCGGTTTCCAACGACCAATCTTTCGTTTAATTTAGAGTCGGTTTCTTCGTTGCGCATAAATAGAAAAACATATCACGAATAATCTATAGAATTAATCGGCAATTAAACAAATCGTTTACACCCAGAATTCTGATTAGAAATTAATTCACCAATGAGAGATTAAAGAATCCTCTAATTGGGATAACAAAGGAAAAAGGATTCAAGGCGAGATGAGCAAAGCGTAGCGAGCGGTGCAACACACACACACACACACACACACAAATACGTACACACACACCTCAACGCAAACGTGAGTCGCGCCTTTTTCCAAATTCCTACTCTAGCCGCTCTCTCGAGAATAAACGGCTCGAGTTGCACAATGCGGAGCGCGCGGCGAGATATTCATCATGCATGCGAGCGCATGCAGGCTGAAGGATGAATGCCGACGTTTTGCGCGGCAAAATCGAGGAACAATGCCGGCTCCGGCCTTGCCTCGCTTTAGATACGAGAGACGCGAGGAGAAGAGTCTCTCTCGGCGAGCCCGAGTCGACTCGAGAAAGAGACACGTCCCCGGATATATTCGTCCAGGTGCGCAAAAGGAGCGGCCGGCTGGCTGCAGGACCGGAAGGACCTGACCCCTGGTCCGCGGACTTGCAAACCGGACTGGAGTCGCGGGGCGTCGCGACGGGAAGAACGACGGCGAGCCATTGTTAGGTAAACACTGTTCAACTTAACGCGTTGACTGATCAAGGGTGAGCGGTGCATTTGCATTTTGGGTCATACCTGACGTGCAGCGAGTTCCATTACCGCGGCGGTGCCGACTAATGAGTTTCTTCGACGAACACATGCGTGATGTCTCTCTCTCTCTCTCTCTCTATCTCTCAATTTCGAGACGCTTTTTTAAGCCTTAACCACGGGAAGAAAACAGCCTGACTGAACTCCCATTATTTGGCGACCAGACGAAAACTCGTTGGAATAGAAAGATTTCCGTAGGAGGTTTCTATTCAGTCTATTGTGTTCTCAATTATCCCAGCCGAGTTCTCTCCAGCTCGGCTAGAAATTCCGACGAAATTTCCAACTTTGTTCGTGGCAACATAGACGTCGTTTCTGAATTATGAGTTTTTGCCTGATCCTTGTTCGATCACACGAGCTGGGGTTCTTCCCCCACGTTTACTAAACTGAAACTCATCGGTCCCTCTAGCCGTTCGCATTGTGTCCGGGCGTGCGTATACATTACGACCTGATTGTTTGGCTAAGCCGTCACTCTAACAGCTTGACGTATCATATGTCACCGCATCGTATCACACGTCATACGTACGACATTATACCGTATCAAACTAAACCTGATTAATATGAAACGTAGGTCGTTGCGAATAAAATATTGTACATATACCGCTTCGTCGAGGAAGCGCTTTGAAGTGTTATTTTATACAGGGTGTCCCATTGTCCCAAGGAAAAACAGTCGATTCGAATATCTCGAAAACTGAGCCCGACAGACAAAAATGTTTCAGACAAAAGTCGTTCGAATTAATCGGTAGAAAAAGATGACATAATAAAAAATTTGGGTTTCCATTTAAGAAAAGTAATGATCAATTAATATCTCGAAAGAGTCATCGGCGCCATCTGTAAACAAAACGATATAGTTCTGTTTTTTGTCTTCCCCCCCTCTCCCCCTTGAAACCATACAACTTTTGTCTGAAACATTTTTGTCTATCGGGCTCGGTTTTCGAGATATTCGAACCGACTGTTTATTGTAATGGGACACCCTGTATATTTTATGATACACAGCAAACGTCTTTAGTTTCCGTTTGACGCCAAGACTTCGTCCAACGAAACGGAGCACCTGTGTCATTTCTCGCCCCGCCCCGCGAGAGAAAATCCCACGCTTTTTACGGCGGCAGATTTGCGTTTCCGCGTATATGTATGTACGTCGGCCGGGCGGACGGTAGACTTGCTTTCCAGAAAAGGAAACCGCGAAGTGGCGCGCTTTCCGCTAGTCGATTTAAACACCGCTCGTTCGAGCGGGCGGTCTAACGGCGACGCGGCTAAAGTGCCAGCCGCAATTACGCGCGGTTTATTCGCGCCGCGCAATATGCGCCCTGCGCGGCGTGTTATCGTTGCGCGCGGCTTTCTCGCTTTACGGGCTTTTATACTGACACGATATATTACAAACACACACGCACGTGTGGAATGTAACGATTCCCCGGCGAATGATTCCGCGGTGGCGGAGGTCTCTCGAATATCGATAAGCTCTGAGGCTAAGATCAGCCGATTAAATCGCGCATCGCGAGATACGCGTCGTTCTCGCTGTTTAATGAGCGGTCAGTTGACTTTGAAAAAATCGACTTTGAACACTTCGCTGTTCGCGAAGACCCTGACGTACCTCTTCTCTCTCTCTCTCTCTCTCTCTCTCTCTCTCTCTCTCTCTCTCGTTGCTTTCCGAGGTTTTAATCAGTGCTCGATTAATAACAAGACGCGGAGACATTCTCGCGAGGCGTAAACTTCTGCCGCGTGGCGGCATTCTTCCTCGACGCGAAACAATCGCGCATCCGAAATACCTCCGCTCTGCTCGCCGGAGGAGAACGCTAACGGGAGGAACCCCTCCGCGAGGGTCCTTCCGTGAAATTCTTAAGGAGCTCCTTCGCGGGCCGATTACAAGGTTACCGAGTCATCGGGACGGGAGTTTCTCAGGCCGCTGGCGCTGGCCATAAATTATACGCCCCTGGTTCCCAAAGAGACGAGAACGCGCTGCGTGGATCCTGCGTGATTTTTCAAGCGCGCGCGCGGAATGAAGCTGAGGAGGGTATGCGGTGGCGATGTAAAATGTACGCAAATAATTGTACTCGCGAGTCCAGGAGGAGGCTGCCTCTCAGACAGTCGATCAAGCGAACGCCTGGGCCAATGGGAGGCCGAGTCGCAGGTGGTCGATTAATCAAAATGCTTGATCAAAGGATAAGATGTTACGGGTGAGACAAACGCCGGTCGGATCCTCCGCGACACGTCCAATTCTTCCTGGGATTGTAGAATTTCACAAAAATCTCCGAGAATTTTGCCGTCTTTTGAGAAAAATTTTGAGAATTTTTGTCGTCTACGCGGATCTGTCTCCTCGAACAGAGAATTACTTCGGAATAATATTTATTTATAATAATATATAATATAATATATTTAATAGTAATATATTATTAAATAATATATTATATAATAAATAATAATAATAATATAGAATAATATTGATAATAATTATTTTATGAAATGAAATATGGAATATGAAATATGGAACAATTGCAAATGGACGAATTTTCTAAAATAATAACGAGAGATATTCGCAACTTGATAAAAGTCCTTCGGCGGACAAACGGACGAGGGGGCGAGATCACGGTCGAGTAAATTCTCGCCGGGCCGACGTCTGCTCGATCGAGCAGTTATTCGTCAGGTCGAAATCGCCCCAGGGAGAGGACCTGGATCGCGCTTCTCCGCGCGCGCGCTTCATTCCAGCGTTTCCCATCGCTCCGATTCTTCCGTCCGCACATGAAAGCCGTTCACGAGCATCTGAGATTTACGATCTCCCGCTCGGCCACTCGGCGATTGCGTCGGCCACGATAGTGACCGTGAAAAGTCCGTGTGCTGGCGCAACAGCACCTTGAAGAGCGGGGTCGAGGCGACGAGGGGAGGAGACGAGAAGAAGACAGAGTCGAGTGACACGCGACGCGCGAGAGGTCTGTTTCAGGTCGCGACCAGCGCGCTCCAGCGACCTCCTCGTCGTCGTCGTCGTCGTCTCCTTCAGCCCGCTACTTTCGACGCGCCCTCGACGCCCACGATTAGCGGGCGCGTCGAATTGACGGATTCACGTGTACACCCGGCCGTGCACGTCGCGACGACGAAAAAGTGTGCTGCGACTTTCTCCGCTCGGCCCGCTCGGAGAGCAACGGTTTTTCGGCTCCATCCAGGTGCCGCGCGCGATTGGAGGTCAAGCGGAGACGGATCGCGCGCGCGCGCATGCGCGCCAACGGTGAGACACATATATCGGGGGTCGGTACAGTTATTCGCCTTTGTGCTCATTGCCGTCACGAAACCTCGCCTCGATCTCTCCTCGTAACCGCGGCCGTGTACTTCGTCACCGAACTCGTTGCCCGCGTTTTAAAGTGCGCTTCGCGACTCGCGGCTTGGCTGATAAGCGCAGATAAAGAGGCCGACACCTGAGTCGGGGTGTACGTGTCTCTCTCTCTCTCTCTCTCTCTCTCTCTCTCTCTCTCTGTACGTGTGTGTGGTCGCTTGCGCGATCGACGCCAACTTGGCATCTCGCACCTTTAACACCTGGACGAGCGGTTCGCCGCTGACGTCACGGCCGAGCGTCGCCGCAGCGTTCCGCGCTATCCGATGAATGGGCAAGAAAGAGAGAGAGAGAGAGAGAGAGAGAGAGGGGGGAGAGAGAGAGAGAGAGAGAGAGAGAGAGAGAGAGAGAGAGAGAGAGAGAGAGAGAGAGAGAGAGAGAGAGAGGACGCACTTTCTCTCCGACGTTGCATACCGCGAGCCGCACTTCTGCAGTCGCACGCGCTCTGTGAGCGCGAGCGCGACAGCTGCGCGCCGCGATGCACACAAGTCCGCATTGTTTCGCGAGCAGCCGCGGCATATGCATTCCACCCGCTCCCTCCCCCTCCGTCTCTTTCCATCCATCTATCTATTTCTATCTCTCTATCTATCTGCCTCCCTCTTTCTCGAGCGATCGCGCTCACAGGAGCCGGAGCACAAAGGCCAGGTGCTGCGGGTCGGCACGGTCGGCGCTCCGAAACTCCTCGACGAGCATTGCGGATCGATCGATCGATCGATCGATCTCAAATCGAAGGATCGATCGATCGATCCTGCCCGCGACCGCGCTCAGCCCCCTTGCCGCCCGCCCCGCCGCCCAAGAGGACTCTCTTGGCGCCAGTTCGGCGAGCAGCGAAACAACGAGTTCTCATCACTTCGCTGATAGCGCACTCGTCTCTCAGGCGAGGCTGTTTTTATTACCTTGCGGGATCCTCCCACGTCTCCTCCTCCTCCTCGATCGCTCCTATCGATATCCTACGGTAATCCTCGGGCGATTCCCTGCAGGCATCCGGCGACCGCAACGGTGCGGCCGAATTTCACCTGGCCGAACGCTCTGCACGACATTCCGCGCGCTCCGGGCTCCTCTCTACCTGCTTCTCTTTCTCTCCCTCTCTTTCTCTCCCTCTCTCTCTCTCTCTCTCTCTCTCTCTCTCTCCCCCTCTCTCTTTCACGGGCCCCTCGGTGGTCCCTCGGGGCCCGGTGGATCTCAACTAGTTCACCGAGGCGTTCGCGAGCCGCACTCGCGAGCGCGTTTCGTCAATTCCAGCGCGCGTCGGGTCGAGCCGCGCATCGCGACGACGACGACGACGACGTCGTCGCGCGGTCAGAAGCGCGCGCGCGCGCGCGCGCACGAGCGAGCACGACGGCTGCACGAGCTCACGAGGAACACGGGCCGGTGTGCGTGCTTAGAACCGTCACGGACCAAGTCTGACTGGCGGCCGGTCGGCGAACACTCCGGCGACTCGTCGAGTCGCCGCCGCCGCCGAACGATGGAAGGGAGAGAGTGTTGCCAGCCAGACTCGGATTTTAAAGCCGGTTTTTGCGCCGAGGGAGCACCGTTTCCTCGGTCCCCGCCGAGGGCCGTTTCTGCACGGCTGTCGCCGTTAATTGAAACGTACGCACTGACGAAAGGAAGAAATCGGCGCGCTCGCCGCCGCGGCCGCGGAGGAGGTGTCTCTCTCTTCTTCTAGTCGCGAGTCTCCTCCCCTTTCCTCCCTGCCGCCCGTGGTGGCTCACGACTGCGAAGGCACGCGACCTCGATACACGGCAAGTGGGGGGATCAGGTGATATCTTATCGCAAAGTTGTAGCATGTAGAAAAAAAGAGCAGTCGTTATCTGCGCTCATGCAAAGTCGAGTTCGAGGGTGAGGGCTTCAGCGGTCGGCAGACAGTCGGCGACTCAGCCGGGGGATGATCGGGGGGGGGGGGTGACTTGGCACTTCGAGGTCAGGTTCTCTCTCGTCGCACGGGCGCGGGCGCGTCCTGCCGAGCCGAGAAGTCGGATGTTAATCGCCGAGTCCAGCCCTGGGCCAAGTCGGCAGGCTCGAAGCAGAAGGGAGAAAGTAAGAAAAGCAGGTATAAAGCGGAGGAGAAACGGAGACGAAGCTTCTATCCTATGGGGATCAGGCGTGTCTGTGTGTACGCGTGCATGCGTGCGTGCGTGAGTATGCGGCCCATCGTGCCCAGATGGAAACAGGTAGGACCACCGATGGGCCGTATGTAATGTAAACGTGAGCGAAACGTGTCCTTTCTCAGGTAAAACGCGAAGCGGAGCTGTGCGCGACTCTGCTCGCGTTCCCGGTCAGCTGACTCTCGGATTCTCCGAGAGACTTCTCACCCTTCGCGCTCCGAGGGTGCAGCCGTGCCGGGGCACTGTTGGAAATTCCTCATTTCGGAGAGCGTCGCCGACGCGGCGCAGACGCTCCCCGTCTGCTCTCGTGGAGCGCTTTCCGAGCTGGCTCAGACCTGATTTTCAACGATTTTCGCGTGGGACGCATCGCGGGCGACTCGAAAAATATATCTCGCGAGGATCTCAGACCTCCCGGCCTTGAAGGGAAAAAGTGAGACCTCTCCCCGCTCTCTTCCCTCGTCTCTCGTACAACTGGGAGAAAAAGTGCTTGGTATTTGTGTCTACGATTGCACCGTGAGGCAATTATGGTCAGCGAGAGAGCCATATTTTTATGATAAACGCTACTACAGCGTCTCGTTAGCAATAATTAGTAAGATAAAAATAAATCATGGAGATGATACAAATTTTATAATTATAATAAATGATTAGGCTCATGATTAACAGACAATTATTACATGCACATGTGTTGACTGCCTTTTTTCTCAAAACGGTCGGCACTGAACGTGTGTGTGTGTGTGTGTGTATGTGAGAGAGATTAATAATGAATTTTTCTCTCGGTGTAATCTCCACGAGTCTGTAATTCCGTAAAGCGCAATCTATTTTGTTATTTATCGGAAAGATTTATCCTGTTTCCATGAGAGAAAAGAGAGCGAGAGCGAGAGAGAGAGAGAGAGAGAGAGAGAGAGAGAGAGAGAGAGAGAGAGAGAGAGAGAGAGAGAGAAAGACCAGGAAGCTGGAATTTCTCAGACTAGAAGATCTCGGATAACAGCAGCAACGATAGTTGTGGAGCAGAGCGGATTGCGTATATTCCGGTCTCGCCACCCCCGCTTGCGAAACGCGGACTGTCGTCGTCGTCGTCGTCGTCGTCGTCGGAATGTTATCGATGCAAACTGAATGGACGTTCTTGATCTTGTCTCGATAACGCGCGACCGCGGCCAGTCGCGCGGCAATGGCGATTGTCCTAGAAAACGAGATTCTACCAGGTCGGCGGCCGGTCGCGACGGTTGTGCAATCGCCGTTTAACGAGTCTTCGTCGAGACCTTCTTGCCTGAGAGCTTCCCTTTTCTCGCCTGGCCGCGGAAAGCGCGTTCGACGTGGCGGGCGGGGCGGAAACGCGACTCGATCTCGGAAGTCGGCGCGGCTCAATTGGAAAATCGGAAGAAAAGTCGAATCTCACACAGGACTCCCTTAAACGTAATTAATCCATCGCTAAGTAATCAACGCTAAGTGACACGCAACCGCCACTCGCGGCATGTCTCTCTTATCACGCGACATAACAACGAGCTTGTTATTTATTATTATTATTATTTTATCATCATCACCATCATATTCCGGCTGCAGAGCGACCGCACCGGCGCGGCGCGGCGCGGGCGGGGGCGGAGGAACCAGACGCGAACTTAATCCCACAGCCGATAGCGTCTCATCGATTTATTAACGCGGTTACCTTAGAAACCCGCCTCGCCGCGAGCGAGCTGTTCACGATAACGCCGTTATCACGATGCACCAGCGGCACCGTTGGCCCTCCTGGCACTTTTCCCTCGGGCCCTCTTTCCCGCGGGCGAGAGGCGAGCTCGACGGGCGAGCCGTAAAATCGCCTCCCGGTGGATGATGCTCGGGATCGTCGTCGGCGGCGGAAACTTCAGCCGCCGATCGAGTCGCGGAAGATTAAAGCCGTCCGGAAGCGCCGATGACGATATCTCGGACCGGTCGAGTCTCCATAGATCGAGGTCGACGGTGAAGGCGACCGCGAGCCTAAATTCTCCACGTCCTTAATTCTCGCAATTTTTCGTTCGCCGGCTTAATGACGCGACGAGTCCGCAGGAGTTGATGCAGATCGCGCGATACCGCTCGCTTTTAACGAACCTCGCTTTGCTCGCGCGCGTTGTCTAATTAAATCGGACCGACGCGGCGTCGACGACGACGTTGTCCTCGTTGGCCCTGTCAACGCGCATCTGCTTCGCGCGAAAGGAAACGTCGCACTGACAACAGGCACCACCGTTCGTTATCGCGAGCGCACGATAACGATAACGGGACGAAGCTGAGCTAGCCGGAATCGCGATCGATCGCGCCCGCACGCGCGCTCCAGCCACTCGAATCGTGATAAGGTTCACAATCGCGAGTACTCTGGATCATCGACTTCGAGCCTGCTCCGGCCAAGAGCTTCTTGTTTGCCGACAAAACAAGACAGTGATCAAGGATACGCTGTTTTGCGGAAAGAGAATGATGATCTCGCGGAGTGTTTTCCTCGACAAATCAGCCGACACGGGTCGATGCTTATCCTGAATCAATAACAAAGTAATTGTATTAATTTCATATACCATTGTTTGACAAACGTGCTGAACGGGGAAGGGGGGACTCGCGTTGCGAAGGGGAACACACGTCGTTCCACGTGCGGCGAGGTTGTCGAAGGATAATCAAGGACGAGCGCAGAGTCGCAGTTGAGAGAGAGAGAGAGAGAGAGAGAGAGAGAGAGAGAGAGAGAGAGAGAGAGGGAAAGAGAGAGACGTCGCGATTCTCTCCTCGATAAAAGCCGCCCGTCGTCGTGGAAAAAAACAGAAAGTCGCGCGCATTACCGTAGCGCGGTGCGCGACGCGCAAATGTCTGCTGTTTGCGATGAGAATGCGAGAATTATCCGGGGAAACGAGTATTGTGTTATTGCCGACGTTAATAAATACCTGCGCCCAGCCATTCGGTCGGTCGCGAAATTCCGGTTTTACGCGAGCACGAACGTCCTGTCGCGGGGATTACGTCAGCGCTCCTTATCACGGTTGCCTTCTTGTTCCTATCGTGGCGCATTCTGCGCGCGATACGATCTCGTGGGACCGCGAACACCGAGAGGACTTCCGCGAGAGGAGGTCCCGGAGATTCCCCCCCCCCCCCCCCGACGCGTCCCAGCGAGCCCGTGACTTTCACCCTCTCGCGGGACTGTGGAGCGACTCTCCATTTTCCATTTCGTCAAATTAGTTTACTCGTTCATTCGCTCCGAAATTCGTCTCGAAGATTGCAATTCCCTTCTCGACTCGTTTAATGAGAACACGCGCGTTTTTCAGCGAATAACCGCGCGACGCCGCGCCGGTATGCGGCGCGATGGGTTATTTTTGCGCGACGCTTAATTACTTATTACCTCCATTAGTTCCCTCGCGGCGGATCGTAAACGAGGTTTACTGGTACGCCGCGGGTATAAATACCGAGCCATGGCCGGGTAACCCGGCGCTATCCAAGTGTCGATATTTCTTTCCCGCCGAAGGCGAACGATCCGCGTCGGACGTGGACACCAGCTTCGACGCCGATATTATTGGCTTTGATACTTTCGAGGGGAGCAACCGGGCTCGTTTAACACGTCTGGATCACCGATGCGACGACCGCCTCATCGTGAGAGACTACATTCGGAGAAGAAAATGCTCAATTTCGAGGCTAACCGCGTTTCTCTCACAAAAGAGAAACAGACGCGGGGAGCAAAAAGTAGAGAGGAAAATTAACGAGAAATAAGTAGCAACAGAGGAGTAGCAATAGCAAATTATTTGTTTACTTATTGTAAATTTTATGGGGAATCCATCCGAAAAAAAATAATTTCAGAACAAGAGGAATCATCTAAATTTTAGAGGATTTTATTCTTATATATGGCCTCAAGAAGGTTCCTCTAAGATTAAGAGGAAAATATTATAAACACATTATTCTTAAAGTTATAGGGATTATATGTTGTATGTATGATGCAAATCTTATTGATTTCAATATAAATTTCCTCTTATACACAAATTATTTAATCTTTTTTCAAGAGGATTTTATTATTTATTCTTACTGATAATACTAATTAATTAGAAAAAATTGTTATAATATATAATGAAAAGTAATATATATATATATATATATATATATATAAGTATTTCTGGCTCCAGTTCTACAATAAGTAGACACGAATGAAATAAGATTGTAACAAACAAATTTCCAAATTTCCATTTCAGTTTTGTTATGGACCTCATAGCTACAAAGATGTTCATAACCAATTGTATAAAACATAGTTAAAAGAGAGAATATATTATTCAACTTCTTGCGGTAGATTATAAATTGTATTTGACCAAATATGGGTAAATTATTTTCGTTACATATTACGGCACATACTTTTTTAAAAAGCGTTACAAATATTCTAACCCATGAGTGTATGATAATTTTTTTCGTTTATGTCTGAAAGTGGAGCATGACTGAACAAAAGCCGACGTTCAAATCAACATATTCCTCTTTGTATAAGAGGAAAATCAATCGATATAAGAGGATATCCTCTTGGAATAAGAAGATAATAAATAGAATAATATCCAATAAATCTTAGATGAATGGTTCACTTTAATCGCTTTATCGAAAGAGGAATCCTTCTTCTGTAAAAGGTTTCGCTCAGGATATGAGACTGTGGGAAAGATCACTTTACAAATAGAATACTTTCTTTTGGGTGTCGTATATACTTAAAATATGCATTATTTATCATCACTGTCTAAATTCCGTGAAAACGATCCTCCGGACCGTAATTGTTTCGCCGCGCGATTACAATCGCGAGTAGCGCGCAACGAGCTCGATAGCTCGAGGTGGATTGAGAACTCGCTTTGCTCGAAATTGCGCCGAGGATTCAAGCCGCGATGCGGGCACGTCGGGCAGGTGTTCGCGAGCTGGATAATGCGGTGCGGGTCCTTTACGCGCGTGACCTCTCGGTCGCGGCGGGCCGCGATAGCCGGAGCATGTCAACACGCGGCCGTGTGCGGTTCCCGCGTCGTCCGCGACGCCAACTCCGCCGGCGATGACCTCCAACGAGGTTCACGGAGGAGCCAACGAGAGGTTCTCGGGGTAGAAGCCGCCGACGAAAGCCCGGCCGAGCGCGCTCGCGTTTTCCACTTTCACGCAAACCACCATAAAAGGACTCGTGTCTTCTCCTCCCTCCGTCCCCCGCCCCCCTTTCTCGCCACACGTGTTCACCACGTTTTCCTCTTGCTTGTTCTGTTCTTTTTCTTTTCACGGCCGACACGCACTTGCGTGAAGGAGCTTCCGGGCGCGAGAATCGTCTCGACGCGGTGAGAACCACTGCGGCGCGGCTGCTTCTCAGCCTTTGCGCTCCGCCGCGTAAAACAATGACACGCGTGTGTCGTGCCGCGCGCGTGACATATGGCGGCCAGTTGCGAGAGGAGCACGAAAAACGCAACGGGGATCGCGATATAGCGGCAAGATAACGCCGCCGCCGAAACGGCCGCTATAAACCGAGAATATAATCGGGGAACCATTACCGGCGCTTTACGATCTCTCGTGACTCACCGCGCGCGCGTCCGCCGGTGACGAGTCTGAAATTCAAATAAAACGGTCGAGAGGGACGCGCGCGAAAGGGAGAGAAAGACCGC